TTCACTGCAAAACAGTTTAGCTCGAGTCTCGAGACGGTTTCCGAGGAGGCAAATCACAAAACGTAGCTTCGTTGTGACCGAGACCCGTGTTGACGCAGATTGACGCATGTTGACGCTGTTTCTAGCGTTTCTCTATTTGCGGCGACCGCGACGCGCTTATCTTCTTTCGCGCGGACGTTTTTTTTTTTTTTTACTTAAATCGTATCTCGAGAATCGTACGCGAGAGATTGAAACGCAAATTGTAGCGCGATTAATTTTTTAACGCGCGTTCTGCGAATGATTCATAACCGGTCTTTCAGGCCGCTGTGTCAGCGATATCAACACGTGGCTGATACGGATCCATTATATTACTATTTCCTTTATTATTTTCCAAATATGCGATCCATTCACCGCGGGTTATCTATTCGCGCCACATACCTTCACTTTTCTCTACACGATTATACGATATCTTCGAAATGCATTTTTTTTTTCAGAGATGACCTTATTTTATATCGTTCGACGCTCTCTTCTCGCTTCATTGAAACGAGAAGAGCGTTTAATCTTCTTTTATTCACCGGTGTTCCGCATGATTTCTCTACTTCCTCGATACGCGATTATCTCTCTTTTTTCCATTTTTCATGCGCCTATCTTTCTAGACTGCTAATTTGCGATATCTCATGTATATTTTATTTCACTTGGTTTCCTCAGTCTTTCGCTAATCCGCGATAGAACGGAGATCTCTCGTCTTTGAGGAGCATTGGTCGTACACGTCAATATTTCGTAATGTCCTCTTTTTTATTTATTTTACACGGACGTCAGCAGTATAGATATACTTTTCAATTTTTACGTTCGCAATAGAACGCGTACTAACGAAAGCTGAAGTTAATCAGTAACCAAAGTTGTTTATCTCTGAGCTTTTGTGTTACGATGAAAATACATTTATATTGCCGAAATAGGATGTCATTGTTAAAGATATTTGCTATGCAGGTAGAGAATCAGAGGCAATTGAATACGATGATGTTAAGGTAAATAAACCAATTGACTCATATGTGTATAATCATACTGTTTTCCATCCGTTTAAAACGTTGATAACGGAGCAGAAAATTAGAGCCTCTTATTTCTACATTTCGCGATAACTTCTTTCTCAATCTACCGATTGAGTACCTCAAGTTTTTTTTACTCCGCGCCCCGCGACGAGTTCTTAATTTCTTGAATGTCGACGTTCTTTCAGTTTCTCTGAATGTCTTTTGAACAAGAGAGTTTGCCTCTTCGTCCGGAATCTTTGAAAACAGACAGTTCCAGAAATACGCATTATTGATCGGCCGTGAGTTCTCTCCTGCGAGTTCTTTTAAACGCGTGGTAGTTGGCCGCGCTAAAATTATCGACGTGGTCTGGAAATACCGATAAAAGAACACACGGTCTGCGCTATCGTTTCATTCAGCTCGTGACTCGATCATTATTGCCGGTCGACTGCTCGACCTACTCTTACGTTACTATACGTCTGTACAATACGTATTGTTAATTGTTAGTCAATAGTTGGTTAACATACCGTTAGTCACATTTAATTACGCGGTTCGACAACGGCGTGGCGCCGGGTTTCTAACAACATTAACGTTCAACATACCTTTGTGTTCACAGGGAAAAGCGGCAAAAGATTGAAGATATTAAAAAGAATATTAGGGACGCCATTTTAGTAAGTATATATCACCTTACCTCTATTCTTTCGCGTGAAACGTCAATATCTATTATATGAGAATTAAAATCAAAAGGGAGAGAGAGGTTGTGCAATTTTGCGAGCGGATTTAGTTGAAAATTATAATTTATCGATCCATTCTCTTTTTTACTTTGTACCCTTTTTTGTTCGGTGATGATGCGCTCGATAGTCGACGTTTCGTTAATGTTGCATCATGGATTTTGCGTTTGTTCCCGAGCGAAATTGTATACTTATAGACATATACATACATAAATCATAAATTATTGCGCTCAAAATAACACGCGACATAACCGTTACGTGACACGCAAATTTGGGATATCAAATATATAGCTGCAAGAGCATTGTCACCGATTTGTCATTCAAGCTTGCGTTCAGCCGCGCGCGCGCGCGCGAGCGATTCTGTTTTGCCCTCCAGGCAAAATGCAATCACTTCCGTACACTGCGTTGACGCAAATGGCGCTACCTCCAATGATTTCTTGCATATGCACGTCGTGCGAAGTAATTAACAGTGTGATAACGATTACGACGAATCAATAGCTACGATAAAAATAAAAACGATTCTAGCGAAGATATTATAGATGAAAGATATAGTGATTTATTTTACAGAATATTTAGATGTGTATATTTAAATTTTCAAACAAATACCTAACATTTATATCTAGCGAAAACATTTTTCGAGAAGATAATCAATATTTTCTTTAGAGGAGAACGATGAAACATGAGAGAAAGAGACACGTTGTTTCTTTTGCAGACGATAACCAGTGCGATGAGTACGTTAACGCCGCCCGTTACGCTGGGGGATCCGGCGAACCAGAGCAGAATGGACTATGTCCTGGAAGTCTCGTCTTCCCCAGACTTCGATTATCCTCCGGTGAGTCAGCCACAGCTTATTTGCGTTGCACGTCGCGTTGTATTTCCCCGCTGCGCGAAACGAGACGCGGGCTTTATTTTTGCGCACTCGCGAAGGAAGCAGGTAACTACTACTCATCGAGACCTTCCCACCGCGCCGCCCGGCCCGCGCCGCGAATTATCGTAAGAAGGAATCCCCGGGCCGATCTTCAAAGTTGCGTCACGTAGAATCTGTTCGTTTCTGAACACGGATAAATTAAATTGCAAATTGCGTTAATTCGACCGAGATGGAAATGAAATGAGAACGCGATTAAATCGGCCGCGCATATTTCCCTTTGCGAGTTTCATTCGCGCACTGTTTGACGTCGAGACGCTTTGTGCACGCTTTATCTCGCGTTCGTGTTATCTCAACACCGTCCTACGTTACAATTTTGAGCGCAGTTGTCGATAACTCGCGCAACTATAATACATATCGCTCGTACGTAGTTATATTCCCTTGTGTTAATTTTCGCGAAATTACAATTTACGTTGCACTGATTGCTTTGAACACTATATCGTCCGGTATTTGCATGCGTTTGTTTCTGAATTGCAGAATCTCGCTATATGCACGTGTAAGAATCTATAAATACATTACAATGCTCGCGCAATTAACATATCATTCTGACGACGGTTGTGATCGTATTGACGATATACGATCTGTGTGGAATATCGATAATTTTTATAACGTATCAACGCGCGCACGAAGATGAAATAATAAGTTGTTTAATAACTGTTCCTCCGTAATGTTTTGATTGTTTTTGTCTCGGACGTTACGCGTTACAAACTCCTAGAATACTCGGAGCAGCTCTTTGCGATTAGCGCGCGCACAGGCGCGCAGGTGCAGGCGTGTAACGGTGATACGTGTGTGGCGTAATGGACGACGGCAACGAAATTTACTTAACGATCATCGCGGCGACATTTCTTAGCGTCTCGTTAAACGAGATCGAACGGCGCGGCGAACGCACATCTGCGGATTAACGTAACGAGGCACGCAGACATACGTACGTATACATACATATGGACTCTTGACGTGAGAACCACTGCGTGGCACGATCAGTGTTTACAATGTTTACACAGCCACCGCACATGTTAGTGCGCTATATAGTATCCTGTACTACGAGGTGCTGCGCCATTTCTCATGTATGTATGTACGTACGTACGTACACACACGATATCTCTCACGTGTGCTCGCAAATTCATGCGATCATTATACTCGTACATAACGGGAATTTACATCGATCGATGCGAATTCTCTGTCCCTGTAAGGGATTTTAGTGCCGAGTCTCACAATCAGTAAGGGACGATCCAACTAGCGCCGGTAAAAAGGTTGCGATTTATATAATTATAATATGTAGAATGTGTATCTCGATGAGTGACACGCCAAGAAAGTTTTACGACTGAATAAAATAGGTATTTACTGCAACTGAATTAATTACAGTGATTGATCTACTTCTATAGTACTTATATAGTTAAACCCCTACTTGATGCGTTCTTAGGAGCGTCCGACTGAATTTGCTCGTGCTGCTTCGAGATTCCCGATTGAGGCGCTCAAGGGATAATCTCGAGACACAGCATTTGAGGGAGAGATACCACCGCGAGAACGGATTCGAAATGCGCGACACGACTCGAAATAAAATCGTCGCGTCGCGACGAAATAATCCGCGCATTTTGCGTCATTCAGCGAATCGCAACGTGCACGCGCGATGTTACGCGTGTATCTGTATATACGGCGCATCATCTTTGCCAAACGGACACCAGAGTGGTCCATTATTTGTTACACGTGCCTGCATTCGTTGGTCGATGATGCATCCGGATTAATTGAATTATTAAATTGTTTTGCGCCGATTTGCGCGATTCAATCTTTCGAACCCACATTGCGCTAACTCGCTAATGATTCGCGCAATATTTACGAGTGACATCCGCAAAACTAATTTACGCTTTGTGTCTTCCGTCTACTTTGTATCGCTAAAGAGAGAGCGCTCGACGATTTCCAGCATTATTTCCAGATCGTCGCGAGGTAACAAATTGATAAATCCATGATTACGCAGGAAAAACAGAACGAGCATTTCATCATACATATATAGATGAGGCTTTTGCTGTTTATTGCATTAATTTAAAAAAAAGTAAATAAATATTGTACCTGGCATATCGCTGACATTATTTTTGCGACTGGAAGACACAAAGCAATACATATGATATATCCCGATTGCTTCTCGCGAATTCTGCCGTCATCTTATACGATTCGTGTTTAATTTGTCACTGTCATTCGGCTCTTCACATATGCGTGAGATAAGAGAGAGGAGGCGGGGATGTTTCGCGGAAATTTATTTTAGGAAAATTCTAGGCTTAATTTCGGCACAGGCTCGAAACTCGAAACACATCGGCAGCGATGCGGTTTTTTACTTATGGAACGATTGAGATATAATCGGCGCATATTAACTTGCAAATAATGTAATAACGATGCGAAAATAATGTTAAAAATTGAAATTACATAAGACGTAGAGAATGCTGATGCTTGAAATATTCACTCGAAAATGTGTAATACGTAATTTTAATTTTTAAAATAATCCTACTTGGGTATTTTGTATTTTTACTGAAGAGGCGAACGCACGAACGGATCGGTATACCTAGGTACTATATGTAATTATATTATTTCAGAAGGTGTGTCGTGGTATGGTAAAACATTTCAGACACGAGAGGATGCAACATAATAAATGCCAAATTAAATATAAATATTGAAATATCTCAATTTGAAAGAGCGACTCCTGCACTCGTATTATCTCGTGTTAAACGAATTACAGTTATTGTTAATCTGTAAGGCGAGCCTTCTCGGGAGGCTTTTACCCGCACGCTACACACGACGTTTACAACGTGCGTGTACGTGTCCCTATATTTTTAGCCGAGTTACATGCTTTGCGACGGCGGCGGCGGCGGCGGCGCGGTGTTTAGGGACTTAGCGAGAGAATGACGCGTTTGGACGAAATTATTAGTACGTGCATAATCGCGATAATAGGCGGAGACACGGCATGGCACCAACACACGGCGATTCTTCCTCACGCGCGGCGGCGAACGACGGATCGACGATGCGTCCGTCCATCGATCGTATTAGAAGCGTGGAAATAGCATCGACAGGAGAATTTATTAATATAACCGTCGTCGTTATTGCCAAGCACACCGGCCGTGCCGGCCGCGGCCGTCGCGACTGTTGCGTGATTTGCAGCTTGCACCAAGTGACAACACTCGGGATGGACTTCCGCTGTCCACGAGAGAACGTAGGCGATGAAAGGGCACACGCCGCGCCAACTACAAGGCTTGTCAATTACGCCGATCCGTTGCGGTTTTCGTTGCGAAGATAAGTCTATGGGAAATTTTTCGCGAAAAATGGCTTAGCCACAGCTGACCCACGATTCGATACACGCGTACTACCGACAGTACCGACCATTAAACATATTTGCGAAAGATTACATTTTCTACAATAATTGAGTATCATTAAACGCGTCATTATTATTGGAAACGATAAATAATTATTATCAGAGACGCGCGGTATTCGATATTTTATTTTATCAAGTCATTCTCTCGATTTGAATTAATATGTCGTCAAAAATTTTATTTGAATTAATGATTAATCGCTGAGAAAATCCTGGTTGTGTGAGAGAAAGAGTTTTAGACACGCGAATATACTGCAGACTATACAAACTAAACTTCTGTTTTGCAATCCGTGCACATTTGTATGTTTCGCCAGGAATATCATCGCGCGATGGAACACGATACAGCTGCATGAATGCTCAAATAATTAATAATACTTTACGCTGTTTCGACGTTGATTTATGCACGCAGCTAGCATGCTTGTGTGTGTGTGTGTGTGCACCACGATTACTCGGCAACTTTTAATTCGCGCCGTTTACAAGAGCGCGTCATTGATCGTGAGAAATTCTTAACTTTCAAACATCGTTGCTATTAGTAAACAATTCACCAGGTAATATTTATTGTATCGACTAATATTTTATGTATATTTACGTTATATTTTGATACAATCAAGTTTGTATATTTTCTAAATTTGAGAGAGAAAAAGAGATTTACATTATATTTAACTATTTTCTATACGCAATGCAACGTTTGATAGAATGAAGATTATTTTTAGCATATATCGGAGATTAAAATATTTGACGTTCGATCGCGAACGCATCCTCGCAGTAGTTTCTCTCGAAACAAGACGTCTATCCTATCGTTTTCTTATAATTTTCGAGACTATCAATGTGTTATGTCACAGAAACCCGTGACCAAAGTCAACCTTCCGCAAAACCTCCCACGTATTTAAGGAAACTAAGTTTCCCGACACAATAACACCTAAATTATTAATGCGCCCGACATTCTCTGCTAGTAACGCGAAGCGTGCAGCCTTGTGGCCACCATTATTTACGTAACATTCAAATTACGATTTTAACTTACTACTAAATGCATGGCATGGGCTGTAATGCGATCGTGGAATGCGTCATGGTAGAGTGCGAATTTTGAATATAATGCCTCGCGCGCGAGAAAAGAAAAATAAATTCCACTGATCTTTTAAGGGATATGGGATTGTCGAGATTTAAATAATTGAGAGATCAAAAGGTCCTTGGATGATAAAAATACTTATATGTCGCAACTGGATTTCCAATTTGCAAATATTTCCTAACTTTTCCGACCACGTGAAATTGATAAGAACCCGTTAATCGTTTTTGCAGCTAAGCGATTCGCCGGTATTTTTTTTTCTTGAAATATTTCTCCGATAAATCACGAGACGAGGATTGAATAATCTCTGCGATCGATTTAAACGGTATTTGTTACGCATTCCTCGCATGTATAGATGCGCATGTTCAGCTTCATTTTTCAATGTCGCGGACTTTGCGGGCAGCACGTTTTTTTTCGCGGCGAGTTAACGACGAATTAGACGTCAAACGTTACAAGAGCCTGGCAATTCTGTGCAATAAAGACGGTGATAAATGTGCTATAAATATACGCGAATAGGTCGTACTGTGAGGCTTGTGCCGTTCAATTCACTCCAGCGCGCAGCGGAGTCTTTACATCGCAATCGGGAATCGGGTTGCTCACTGGGTCGCATACTTACCTGCGCCTTGCGCTTTCGAATTTAAAAAAATTTAGTTCACGACAGATTTTTATCCTCGATTTAAATCCTCAACATTGGAAACATCTATTGTAATTTATTACACGCTGCTTTCTTTTTGATTCGAAACGATCGTATATTTTAGGATGGGAGATAGGCTTCTTTTCCGAAAAAATTCGCAGAAGCGCCATTGCAATCGAGTCTAATCATTGGTCAATTGTTCTGCTTTCAGGAATTCTACGAAATCGTCGAAACTCTTTGGAAAGATCGAGGCGTTCAACAGAGCTTCGAGAGGAGTAACGAGTATCAACTCATCGACTGCGCCAAATAGTAAGTCGTTTTATTTTATAAACTTGTGAAAGGGTTCAACGATACGTCATACCGTTTGGCTTGGAGTTGAGCCGCGAGGAATAAAAATAGCACAACCGGCATCGTTATCAATGGACCGTGTTGACGCCGCGTCACAGCCAGCCCATTCGCGCGGATACGCATATGCTGGAGTAACATACCAAAATAAATCTACAACTAATAAATTTCGTCAAACATTTTTAACGCGTGATTAAGTCATTAATTCATTGATACGATGCGCCTTTTGCAAAACAATTGAATTTCGCGTACTTACCCGTTGATTTGTTAATCGCTGGATCTTTCTATATACGCGAATAGAGTATGAGGCGCGGTTATTGTAATCTGTTACGGGGGTGATATCATGAGCATGATAAGAAATGCGGTAAGATAACGCTTACTCGTCGATAACACCACCATGCATCGCGAATCTGTCGTCGCGTTGGACGAGAACTTTTTTTTAGAACAAATCTAGTTTAACAAATACAGCTTGATCTTTACTTTATTCTATCGTTCGATTGTAGTACTTAACAGGTATCTCCATTTTTTTATTTTTTTATTTTAATTTTTCCCATTTAATTTTTGTACATGTGAACAAAAATTTATTATACGTGTCAAATATATCAGAAAAAAATTATAAAAAAATCCATATGTATAGATACGATATGCGCGCGTGTATTTATAGACTTGTGACACCGATTTAATGCCAATGGAGACAATGCCTTAACGAGGTAATCACTTTAATAGGGGCCACCCGTTTATCCAGAGACTCTCTCGACAAATTGACCCAACCTCGAGCTTTTTTGTACGCTAATTCGATGATACGAGCGTTGACTTGGTTGTATAAAGCGGCATCGTCGCGTAATGCGATGAGATTACGATAGCGAGAGAACTGTAAACGGCCGGATCGAATGCAATAGTAGTTGGTATTTTAAACGCGAGGATTATTGCACCAGATCTTTATACGTATATAAGGGAAAAGACGTAAATCTTCCTAGCGTAAACTACGACCTTATCTGTTTAGCCAACAATCGGCATGTGACTGTTTTTCACACCTGTCAGGTCGCCAAACACTTTAATTTGACAGTCTCGTATGTACATGTACGTTCTCTTCTGTAGAATCGTAGTACCGACATCATTCGTTTACCGATATACATACATAATATACCCAGGAACATTCTGTGTATCGATTTATCTTACATAATTTGTATCGATCTATTAAAATTTTAACTTTGAAAATTTTGAGATAAAACGGAGCAAATAAACGGAGTAATTATCATATTTATAAATAATGCCTTACACGATATGAGAGAGCAGGAAAAACACATGCATTTTCGTCGAACAAATTCTCTATTCGAACTTTGGTATATTACTAAATTCGCGAGTGATGAGACACGAGTCTCTCTTTCTCTTTTTCTCTCTCGCCTTCATCAATATTTCGTGCTACTCGTAATCGCATTATCGCGGATTTCTTGTATTTTCTCTTTTTTTTTCCATTAGTGCGGCTCGGCGGTGTGGCTCTCTCTCTCTCTCTCTCTCTCTCTCTCTCTCTCTCTCTCTCTCTCGTGTGCAGCGCACGAATGGTTGACGTTAAAAATAGCGCGATGTATTTTTAGACATCGCGCTCCGGTGGTGAGATATAGCGTTCTCAGCGTATTCGTATTATAGATGACGGAGACGCAAAATGGCTATAATCTTGCGGTATGTAGCGGCATGTAGTGGCCGTGCCTATAACTGCATTTAATATATTAAAGATACGTTCGCCTATTTACTGTATGTAGCGTACGAGGTAGAGGCAAACGCGCAAATTTTATCATATCCTGCTTTTCGCAAATAATTTCTGACACACCGCAACAGAAATATCGCGCGAATTTTCCGTGAGTCTTTCCGGAGAAAGAAATCCAAAAAGAGATGAGAATATTGTCTTTGATTTTATTTGCCTTTTTTGAGCGTTACGATTTCGGATAATCGTTATTTCACCAGTAGAAATTTCTTTTGTAAACACGCAACGCGCTATTGACATAGTAAAAGTGTGACCTTCTTACGCGCACTAAATACGGCGCAACGATATGTACTCCGTCACGAAAATATCGCGAATCTGAGTCAGTGTGCGATGGAGAATAAATATTTGTCCATCACCCGCGTACCGTGCACGACAACGCGCGTGATTATTGATTGTCGGTTTAACGGGAATTATTTCCGGATCGCGGATGATCTTTAGCGTCGACGCGAGGTAATGAGCCGAGGACGTGCACGTGCGTAATTGTTATCAGAAAAAAAAAGAGAAAAACATATAATTCCATTTGTGCGTGCATGTGGTATACCGCGTGTCGTTACTGCAGTATTTTAAGCGTGCGTCGTGCGTCGTGCGTCTCGTCTCGATTGTAGAAGTACCTAAGCGACGTTTCACGTACGCGATAACACACCTCGACGCCTCTTAAAAAAGGAAACATGTGCCGCTATATTTAGGCACTATAGTCTATATATCGCGCGGATTATTGATGCTGCTATATACACATAGCTCGTAAATGTTTGGATAGACAGCCGGCGCTCTCGCGCGTCTCTCTTCACTGTCGATACATTGCATTGGTATGCCCACAGTGATTCTTTTTATTTTTATTCGTTCTTATCTCCAACACCCTCGAAATAATGGAACGTCCAAACGAGAAGGTGTATCCTGCTACCAACGTGCGTTGGAATACGAAAATTTTGTATTTGATTTATAAGGACAAAGCTAGGGAATGAAGAAACCCGAAATTTTTAATACTACAATTAACATCGTAACACGATTACACTCTATTTTGATCTCGTCTTTTTGATCTACGGGAGGTATCTACAACTAATTTAATTATAAGTCGCCCTTTGCGACTTATCGTAATAATCGCATTTACGATAGCGAAACGGGAGTTTCATCGAATTAAGAATTTAATGACAAACGATTACAGACATTTTCCGTTCTTTTTGGGTGATGCGTGTTTTTTTCCCCAATCATCGATCGAACTGGATTTTTCTGATCTAGTTAATAGAAAAAATTTAACGAGAGAGAAAAAGATGGAAAATTAGTGTTTCGAGAAAGGACGAGTGACGAAAGCCGACATTATCCATAGGACTCCAGCTTGATATCGGATAAGAGAAAAATTCTCGTTTTGCACGCCCGCCCAAGTACGGAAGACAAAGAGGATGTTTAATGTTTACAGTTGAGAGCCGCCGCACACGTCGGCGACGTTAGGGTAGCGCGCGGTTGGAACCGCCATCGCCAGGTCCGTCAAATATTTGCGATTCGAGCGAATGATCGCGCGAGCGTTAAAATTCCAAACTCCAATTTGTAATGGCAGCGAGGAGATCAGGGCCATCGGGCTCCCTTGTGCGCGATATCGAATCGAATCGAACGACGGCGATTTTAAAATCGCCAAAACGTAATCGGACCGCTCATCTTATATCCTCTAGTCTTATATCCCTTTTAAATTCCGGAGCCACGAAGGATGTCGAGAGGGGGGAGCCTTTTCGAGACCACGGCGCCGCGGCGTGGCGCGGCGCGGCGCGGCGCGGTTTCCTTCGGTTTGCGATTCGAAAAATTTTCAGCTCGATCTCGAATTTCTCGGCCTATTCTGCTTGTGACTCGAGAATTTCATTGTAACATTATCGATTCTCGCTGGAGTACGCTATACGCCTTATGTACGTACAAACGGTGCGATGGATTCGTCGTGGCTTATGCGCGGTTTGAGCGCATAAGCCGCATACTGATTATAGATACGTCGCCGTCGGCGTCGGCCCTACATCTACATGTCGAGTAGGTGTAGTTCTAGAAGTTAACCCGTTACCCACTTTCCGACTACCGGCCCTGCATACGGGGTGTCTCGGGTCTCGGGTCTCGGGTGTCATCGCACCGTATATGCATACATATGCATGCATATGTATTAGCGAGATAAGGATCGCGTAGACAGTCGGTGATTAATGTCGTTTGGCAGCTAATTTGAACTTAGTTATCGTAAAGTTGATTACATCCCAAACTTTTAGGAGCTATTAGGACTTTTTTAGAATTAACACTCGTTGAACAAGTATTGAATCACGGGTGAAATCATTTATTGTAGAAAATTAAAAATTTATTTAAAATCACGTACCAAGTATTCGTATCGAAGGGATTGAGAAATGATTAAAGAGAATGGCGGCCAATCAGTCTCGCTAAAGGAAACTCATCCCCTCGGAATTGTCCGTGAGGCTCTGTATATGGGACTATAGATTAACAACACCTCGTGTATAATATTCTATATCGTGCTCAATAACGTGATCGGAGCTTAGAGCACAGGAGGGGCTTCGCTAGCTATTGCTGCCGACATCAAACGCGCGTTCGATTTGCGCCGTCCAAGTCCAGTCAATACACGTGTTATTATCGCGCACGATCCGGCTTTCATCGTTTTCCCCGCTTTGTCGTCGCGAATTAATTCTTCGCGAACGAACGTCGAACGTTTAACCTTTAACCGGAAGCGGTTGAAAAATCCGACGCGGCATTTTGTCGATCGCTACGAAGCGCACCGTGCTGGTTCTATTCCGCTTGCGGCGATAGAGTTCGACAAGCGCTGCAAGATATCGGATAGAAAATAATTAAGTGAACGGAGCGGAAATGTGGATGTGTGTGAAAAGTCCGGCTGGGAGACAGTTACGGGCTTTTCGCGTATGTAAGCTGCTTTGTAGGAAAAGACGATCTTAAATACAGGATCCTACGTTTTATTCTCGATATAAACAAATCGCCGGATAAGAGAGAATGCGGCAAATTACCGATAGCGGCGTTCATCGCTAACTAAAAGAGTAAATTGAAGTGTTTTATTTATATACCTGTGTTTCAAAATCCCTCGAAAAAATACGCACGAATTTTAGGCTTGATCTCCAACTCTGTACAATACTCTTGGTCACATTTATTATTTCCCGCTGACGTTACGCGTTTTGACTGGCCCGGATCGCTGTCAGAAACAACGTTGTCACGTTTGCTCGCCTCAAGGTCTCGGCGGAGGGTTGTGTTAACGGGGAGGATTGTGTTCACGATAACGAGAAAATCGTTCTGCAGCAGCAGCCGCCAGTAGGTCACGACCTCCTTCCTCTTTCAATTCTCTGGAGGTCGATAGCCTCATTTCTGGTGGAGCGCGCCAATTCCATGACCTACCTTCTTTCGCGAGCCTATATGACCGTATAGACGCGCAGATACGCGGATCTCTTTTTCCCCTTTTATCGTATATCGCGAGAACTATAGAAACTCGACGTACATTTTCTCACATTCTAACCGTAGTATTCGTTTTAGATAAATCGCGCGATATTTGATCGCTTTTGGCAATGACTTTCTATTTACACACAGACACCTTCAAATAAAGCACGCTGCAATGTAATTTCAAGTAACGTCTAGTCCTCTCTTAATTATGTAAAATTGATGTATTTTCGTTTTTTTTTTTTTTTTTTTTCTTTATAATTTGTTGAGAAGAACATAAAGGAAAGTTGATTTCTAATTTTAATTATAATATATTTGAAATACATTTGTGTATGTATAACTATATGTTCGAAGGATATATTATATATATACTTTCTGAGTAGAGAGTATATTTGTGTCTATAAAGAAGTGGAATTTGCTCTATAGCTCCATTTTTCTCTTCTCCCTATATCACAATCATAATTTGCTGCCGAAGCAGAGTTAGTCGGTTCGAATCGATATAATGATGCAAGTTGAATGAAAAACATCTAATATATAATTTCATGATAAGAGTTTCAAAAGTATTTATGTATTTTCGAGGCAAAAGTTTCTCGTCGAAAATCGACCGAATCGCACGTACTTATAAAAAGTATAGCGTTTCAAAAAGTTAAAGTTTTCTGCGTTAATTTGAATATAATAGCAGGCTCTCCCAACTATATGCTTTCGGGAAGAAAGCTATTACACAAACATCAGGTATCCTTTAGAAGCAAATTATAGTTTTGTAATCGCATTACGTCTCGTTAGTGTCGTCGATATACTTGGCACGATTTACTGTCGTATCTTTCGAGCACATTCAAAGACCAAGTGCTTTTTCATTTATCCACCGCACACATCTTGACGAGATCATTTATGTGGCATCGTATTGTATGCAAATTATTTTTTTACACTATAATTATGTATTCTCTTAATATTATTTTATCACGTCATTATTTAATTTTTATTTCAATAAAATTTTCAGTCCTTAATTTTTTTGTGGTTTATTATTGAAACTGTATTGAAATATATATATATATATATATATATATAGTCTCGTAGAATATATAGTTTCTAATATAGAATCAGTGTCGAGCTGTTAATAAATGCTATCGCTACTACTACTCCCGATACGCGGACCTTTAATTATCTCGCAAAAGAGGAGGCGTTTTATAACGTTTTCCGCGATAATAGCGCGCACGCGGTGTTAAACCCTTGCGTATACGATTGACGGCGAGCAGAGAACGAGCGGTGGCAGTGACCCATGACCCGGATCACGGAAAGTGGGTGCCAGAGGGGCGTGTATGCACACCCGGCGAGGCTGAGGGGTTGGAGTTAGGGTAGGACATCGTCGAGGATCGATTTTCCCTCTCGGTGGGCTCCCTCCGCCCTCTCAGTGCGCAGGAAGGGAGGCTGGATCGCGAAGGGAGAGGGTCCCGGCATAGAGAAAGGAACGGGCGCGAGTGAATGAGAGCGGGTATATGAGAAAGGTAAAGAGAGCTGAATGTGTGTATGTGTATGTATGTGTGTGTGCGCGCGCGCGGATACATGAACGCGCACGAGAGAAAGAGAATGTTCGCTCTTCGAAAGGGTGATAGAGGGTGGAGAGTGGAGACAGGGCGGAGGAACGGAGGCTGCGGGCGAACGCGAGTATAAACACGGGACGCGAAATAGCGAGAGACAGAGAGGGAGAGAAAGAGAGATTCTCTTGATCGCTCCCCAAGGGATATTCCGCCCTTCTTCAGCATCCGTTTCCGTTCTCCGTTCTCCGTTCTCCGTTCTCCGTCGCGACGCGACGGCGGTGTGCGCGCTATCGTCGACGCGTTTCCTGTAGGATCCTGCGGCATCCTACGTGTCCCGGTCCGAGACTCTACCGAGCAGGAGCACGGCACTCTTCTCGCTCCGGTGGAGCGACGAGAGAAGAGAGGAGAGGAAAGGAGAGAGAAAGAAGGATCGGCTCAAGAGCCCGGCCGACCCAGGAACGCGGCTCGATCGAAAGAGGAAAGTTGACACTGTGTCGGAGGGCTCCGAACGATCGACCGCCTGCGACCGCCTGCGATCGCCTTTGATAACATTATGTTATTGTCCCGTATTCCGGCGACGCGTTTAAGCGGTTAAAAACGACCACTCGATTCCGCATTTCTCGTGTCTTTACGTTCTGATCACCGTCCCGCTTTTTCCTCCTCTTTTCTTATTTCGAGAGAACTGCACGCGCTCTTCCCTAAAATCGATAGACACGCGACAAAAATAATTTGGCAATTTTGGTAACAGCGGGGGACGTAACGAGATATACTATCGATAATAATCGGTACGTCCTATCTCAATCCGGGTAGAAAATCAATGCAAATGTGATAATATGATGATGGTTTATATTATTATCCGGCGGTTCTATTTCAGCGAGTCGCGCGGAGATACGTAGGATGCATAATGCGCGATGCAGAGTTATTGTACAGCGGTAATGTCTGATGTAATTGTAACAATCTGATGGATATCGTACCGCGAGCAATAGTCGTAAGATCGATGCGAATATAATAACATGGTTTATTATTATCCCGCGGTTCTACACCAGGGACGTACGGGGATACGTATATAATGTTATGCGGTCAATATATAACGCTGTTTCTCGTACAACTAATATAACTATGTAGTGCGATAATATCGCGAATAACAGCCACAAAAGATCGGCGCGGATATAATAATACGATTTATTGTTGCGTGATCTAATATGCTTTATTACCCTTTCGGGGTAAGAATAAGTCGCTTTTCGCCGTCAAGCATTGGTTTTTAATTAATTAGAAGTTCTCGGTCGAATTATTCTTCCGAATGAAACAAATCTCTCTCTAAAAGTGAGAGAACACGCGTAAAAATCCTAAACGTATACTTTTTACAGGTGTCTTTCAAAGAGATCTAAAAGGCGCGTTAAGATTTTTTTTATTCAAATTACTCGATTATAATATCTAACATTGACGCGAATGATAAACGTTTTATTGTAATGCTGATTAAACCACATACAAGTATCGTCATGTACAATTTAAAATTTACTCATTAGCTTTTGTTCTCGTTCTCGTTCTCGTTCTCGTATCAGTTCTCGCAAACTGTTTTACATTGAGTTCGGAGATCAGAGCATATCGTGTATCTATACATATATCAGTATATTAAATACAAAAGAGAAATGATATAGGAAAAAGTAACTTTATTATCGGATTATTTCTTTCTAGATTCGTGCCTTTTTCTTCGACACGCTCGGCACATGCTTTCTTTGTAGTCTAGACACTCTAGCTCTAGACTCTAGACTATATAAAGAAAGCATACGGGTCTGTGTAAATTTTGAGAAGCTCTCGTACGTGCAATTGAAGCCAACGTGCAAAACTGAAGCATATGAAAAACGACGTGCTATGTACTGTACATAGTACATACCTCCTCTATGCACTTTGCAAGAAATAGATAAAAATAAATGCATACATGCGCGAAGAAAAATTCCGTGGCGACAAGATCGCCACACGCGCATACCTTTCTCGATGCACTATTTCGGTATTTCTGCTTCGAATTTCTTTACTTTTATGACGTAAGCCTCCTGTCTTTGTCAAAATGGCGTAACTTAAATTCTGGATTTCTCGTATTGAATCTCGATAAAATACAAATTGTGACGCGATTTATTTTAATAATATCTACGAGGTCTCAACACGCATGTCGCTTCTAGAGCAGATATCTTTTATGCGTGTTTTTCTCATGATACGTTATATGTGTACATTAATTTTTTCGTCTAATGTTCGTGCTCGAAAATACGAAAACTCAAGACTTGAATGACAAAAATTTGATTTACATTTATATCGCATACGAAAGATACACGTTTTCGATTTCGACCACATACGGACGTATGGAGTGGCTCTCACGATAACGATGCGGTTGATTGACAATGATTGTTATCGCGGATGCCCCGCATATCGATCGAAACTAGTTCAACTTGATTTTGACGAATTCATGTTGCCACGTCGTCGAATAGAAGGTGTGCAGGGTATACTCTTATCGATATACTTAACGTTTTTTTTTTTTTTTTTTTTTTTTTTTTCAGCTCGGCACAGATTGATGAATTAGGAGATTTATAATAGTGTTGTTGAAAAATAATGATTTACGAGATTTTACTGTTAAAGATTCTCTCTCTTGATACAAACAAATTTTCGATAGAAACACCGCGTATGTCTTGCGCAGTTCAGTTATATAGGCGTATTTTTGCCAAGTGGCAATAAAAATTTGCAATTGTTCCTTCTCGGATTGGTAACGTTCGCTTAATGAAACGTGCGTCGAATGCACGTCTTTTCGTTTTTCCATTCGGTACGCGTAACGCACGGAATATTCATGGAATATTGCGGATGCCGTGGCACACGTAGTTATTGAATATGTCGAATAAATATTTAAAAAAATACACACCCGGTGCTCTGCAAATGTTTACAACACTGCTTTGGCTGTTTCGCAACGAATCTAAATCTTTCGAAAAATTATGAATTATCTAATCGAATCAGACGCTCGCAGGTAAATCTCACTAATTCTTCCTTTGTTCTGTTTCAGTTTTCTAGATAAGGTAGCCATCGTAAAACAGCCGGATTACACGCCCACGGAACAGGTGATTATTACAGTTTTTCTTTCGTTCGAATCTTCTGGTGTCGATAATGACGGGGTAACTTCGAGACGAGTTCAGACATGTCGGAAACTTTTTTTTCCCCTTTATATTTCCGGCGTTGCAAAATTGAAATTACTCCGATCATTATAGATCCTCGCGCGCTCGGCGCGGCGCTGACAAAGCGATCTCGCGCGGTCGTTACTTACGTACGTGTAGGAGTAACGTGTGCTTGCATTTTGTTGCAGGATATCCTCAGGTGTCGAGTTCTCACGTCCGGCATTTTTGAGACGCGATTTCAGGTCGACAAAGTAAACTTTCAGTAAGTCCCATAGTGCGACACGCTGATACTCGCGCGCGCTTTATTCCAATGTCGTGGGGCTATATATAGCCGACGTATTACAGTAACATCGGCCGACGGTAAATATAAACGCAAAGCGGCGGCGGTGGTGGTGGCACAGTGGCGGTGGCGGCGGCGCGCATCTTACCCTAGCACTTCTATGTATTACGGCCGCTACTGGGCAAGACTTACACTGTTATAACGTGTAAGCTGAAATCCGTTAACCGCGTTAACGCCTCCGCAACTTTTTCCCTTTTTGCGTTCACTCTCAGGTCACGTACGGCGCGGTGCCCCACATTATTTTCTATAGGCCCACCACACCCCTTTGTTGTCGCCTCTCTCGCGTATGCGCGCGCGTAACCGTTTCGCTTTTAACAAATACTCGAGAAATTTGTCCGTTTGTAACTTTAAAGGTCGAGTATCATTTTAAGAAAATCCGATATATAATACCGTGATATAAATTCTAAAACGGTTGGACACATCTATTTTCAACGAAGATCTATAAGAAGTCAAAGGACTTGGAAATGCGGCTTAGTTTTTTGTAATATCATGCAGTGTTATTTCTCCGAACGGTCCTAATATAAACGGATAAGGACTGCGGTAAGGGGACGGATCGTTAGACGCGGTTCGCGATGCCGCAGTTAGGTTCTTATTTTATTGAACGTTTCTCCGCTTTTGCAGCATGTTCGACGTCGGTGGCCAGCGTGACGAGAGAAGAAAATGGATACAGTGCTTCAACGACGTTACGGCGATTATATTCGTCACGGCGTGTAGTAGTTATAATATGGTACTCAGGGAAGACCCTACAAAATTGAGACTCAGGGAGAGTCTCGATCTCTTCAAAAGTATCTGGAACAATCGGTATGCAGCTCCGATTTCTACCTTACGACAGGCATCTTTAAAATTCGCGATATATCGTGTATCGATATTCCGACGATTCTGACGATCGTTATCTCTTTTCTCGCAGGTGGCTCCGCACGATCTCGGTGATTTTGTTTCTAAACAAGCAAGATCTATTAGCGGAAAAGATCAAGGCGGGCAAGCACAAACTAGAGGATTATTTCCCGGAATTCGCGCGCTACCAAACACCGGTCGAGCCCGGGATGGCGGCGGATCCTTCGGAACTGCCGGACGTCATAAGGGCCAAGTACTTTATTAGAGACGAGTTTCTCGTAAGTATAATGCATGTAATACACGCGTTGGTCGCTGATCGATCATCGCGGTTGTTCTCGACCCAAGTTATTCACGTCCAAGATATTCTGACGTTGTTGCGAGACTCGCTTGTCTTTATAGCGCATAAGTACGGCGAGCGGCGACGGCAAGCACTACTGTTACCCGCATTTCACGTGTGCCGTCGACACGGAAAACATCAAGAGAGTGTTCAACGATTGCCGGGACATCATCCAGCGGATGCACCTGCGCCAATACGAGCTCTTGTGACTTCGTTCCTGCCGACGTCTCCTGTCATCATTCGTTAACCTGACGGTCACACGGTTCGTGCTGCATCTCGAGTCGTTGCAGCCACTGCGAATCAAATGAGCGAGCGAGCTGTGGCCGTGAACCGTGGCCGCGAGGACTCGCGAGAGTTCCACATGCCTGGGCGTATTCAGATAACGCGTAGGACTTGTTCGCCAGTCCAGAAAAGCCGACGAAAAGCCGTAGTCCGCGAAGAACGCGTCTGTGGACCCTGAGAGTGACTCTGCGCGAATCGATCGCGCTTCCCCTCGTCGACGAGATTCAGAGACAGACGAGAGTCAGTACGGCGATACGCTGCACCGCCGCACTGCCGCGATCAACTCTCCGCTGTGCGAATAGAATCTGTCTGTCGCGTACGAAGCGAGTTCCTTCTCGCGCGGAATAAATTCGCGCCAAACTGCGAGCGAGGCACGACGCGAGATGACCGCGCGTCGACGTCGATACGTCGATCCCGCGTGTCCTAGCACAGCGTGAGTCGCGCAGTTCGATAAAAACGAACGAGCGGCTTCTCCAAGCGCCCGCGTATTCTCGATCACTCGACTCTCCTTTTGAGTTAGATGAAAGAGTGTGCTGAACGCTCGTCGTCGTATCCGAACGACGCGACGGCGGGATTCGAAACGCTCTCTCGCGCCGTTCGATCGCGCGTGTGAACCATTACCTCGTTAATTTTATTCCTCTCGCACGTTATTCCGCTTCGTGGCGGTACGCGCGAATCCTGTCATAAGCGTGGGCCAACGTCGTCGTCGGATGTGATTCGAGGGACGATTCTCTTCGTTCAACACACTCTTGACGTGAATTATCGTTCAGATTAGAGTTAAGGATGTTTCCTAAGACTTAGGCGAACCTCTCCGGTAAAAAAAGAAGAAAGAAAAAAGAAAGAACTTTTATCGTTTTTGACTTTCCTCCTTACTCGTTTCCGAATCTCCGCTATACTTTTGCCTCGCTCCCCTCCGTATACATCTCGCTTAGAATCTCCGCGTCTCTTATTTTCTTCGTTTTCTTTTGTTGAGCCTTCGACTTCCGAATCTCGATTCTTTTTATTATTGCATTGGCCCGACCTGTAGGAGTCTCAGCCGCGTCCTTTTTACGAGAAGAGTATTTTGTGAGATTTTACAGTATTTCGAAGAGCGTTTTAATTATATAACTATGTATCGAGTATATGTACATGGTGACCGTCCACGGATTCTCATCGTTTTAACGTACGTTTCTTACGATCGAGATCTTTCACGGATATGGATTTCCCTTTTTTTCCACCGATTTTAAACAGTAAATCGAGTTACTTTTTTAATTTCTCTGTACTTAGGCACGCGCGCTACCCGCAGTAGCAATCGTCTGTATATCTAGCCCTAGCCCACGTAAGAAATGTGCCACGTTCAAGTTCTTTGTTGCTACGCACGCAAGTATAATTTTGCGATACATTGCACGCGCACGGCGTTTCGAGACTTGTGTAAGGGTAATCGTTTTTTTTTTTTTTTTTTTTTTTTTCACCCTGGAATTCGCATCTCGCATTCTTTTTCAGAGAAATTGTCGCGTCTCGATGATACGTGGTAACGTGTACAAATTTTTACGTTCCTGATCGAACGGTATCGATCACGCTATCGATCGTTTTTACGGTCCCGAAACGAGAAAAAGGCCGATTTGCGAGAAAATCTTATTGCTTGCGCATTGCCACTACAAATACATCCCACTTTCCTCGTCGTCGCTACTTGAACATCCCGTGTGCGATAAGCCATGTCAATTTTCCCTCGATTTTCATATTATACTTTAGTATCAAAAAATAACGAAATGCTTGCGCGCTAATGACGTATATACATAGATCAAGCAACGCAATTTGAAGACGGCTAATTAGCGGCTACTCCAGTCACCTTCCTATTGAAATACGGAATTCAAATATTTTTTCGCTACAGTATTTAAAAATAAATAATCACAAATTTATAATTGTATATAATAATTTTATAAAACGATGAAACTATACATACATACATATATTTTTTTGTGAGAGATATGTATTAAGTCTGAAAATTTGACATGCATTAAGAGAAAAAAGATTGGCCGCGATTGTATTAATGAAGAGAAATAACATAACGCATAAATAATTAGGATTAAAGAATAATATAATCTTACTAGCTTGGATAATGATATATTGGAAAGAAAAAGAAGATTTCGACGAATGAGTCCTCGCACATTTACATTGTCAATTATCGACTTCATTCTTGTTCTAGAAGAATCGGGCATCCTTGGTCTATGTGCGTATATCATTGTGTGCTTGCGTATCGAGTTTAGAGGATTATGCATGTGCGTATACGATATAATATCACTGGTACGTTCTTCATATGTACATACATAGTTACGTACACATCGTCATATATCTCGTCGTCGCTTATAAGAGTTTTCGGTATAATCGAAACAGAAAAGAATCCCATAAAATTGCGCACAGCACGCTCGCATACACACACACTTCACACACGCATTGTTCGGTTAATCTCTTAACTATATATTGACACAAGGATCTAGCAAAAGTAGAACCATTTACAGTAAAATTTTAGTTTTGAATTGATTAAAGTTTCTTTCGTGATTAATTCATACCGTAGCTATTTCATAGCGATTAATGTTGCAAATTCTGATAGTTCATGAACAGTTTATAATCGCAATCTATCTTGTTTCCAATAGTCTAATTTAAAAGAATCTTTTTTGCATGTTGTAAACGAAGGGTTAATATTAGCCGATTACCGACTTGTCGTGAGTACCGATTTATCGCATAAATAACGGGAATCAAATCGAAGCAAGTAAAATAAGAATTAAAAAATATGAAATGAGCGAGTTTCCGAGGGTTTTGTGTAACATACTGTAATACACTCGACCGTTATTTCTGTTTTTCTTTATTAACTGATTGTTAATCGTGTTTTTGTAATATTTTATAGTCTAATCTTTTTGTCGTGCCAATTGAAACGGCTACGTTTCTGTTTGTTTCGCAAGATTATTTTTAAGGTTTAAGGAATCTTAGTCTTGTTTTTTGCAAATGCCTACGCAACTTTATCTTCTCCTTATCTCGCTATTTTATTCAATGACATTACACTGTATTTTGTCCGCTCAACTTGTTACATTAATATCTCGCGCGCGATTCTTACACTTTTCACCGTAACCTGACGAGAATATAGGAATCTCGGGGCATTACATAACAGGTATCCTCTACATGCCGACGTGTCTACAACTACGTAACTGTAACTTCATACAATATCGATGTACGAGTACAAGTACGTGAAGCATGATACCAAAAAAACGACCGTAAACATCGCGAAGCAAAATTCCTCTCCGCGCTTTGCGTCATGTCTTATTTCATTTACTTAGCAACGGGTTAAAGAATGGTAGAATTATGTTGGAAGAATTTTAGCGTGTTCTTATAAAGATGGAAGAATAAAAATCATTGATACCGCAATGTTCGGCGAAGAAATGGAATAAATCGGTCGTCTTAATGTCATGTGTCTAATTTGCACTTTTATCGTACATAAGTACGGACCGTACAGACAAAAGTCATAGTTTGTAACATTATTTATAAGTTCGCGAAACGTTATTTTTACTACGACTGATAGGGGGGGGGGGGAGAGAGAGAAAGAGAGAGGAGAGAATCTCTTCGTGATTATCTATCAAATTTTCGTGAAACTTGAATGTTCACATTCGGCACAAAGTCAAATGAAGGCGAATATAACGAGTAATAAGTATTTTCATGCCTACATTTCTTTCCTTTCTCCTCTTTTCTTCTCTTCTTCCATAGTAGAAGAGAACAAGTAACGGGTACGCCCTATTTTCTGATTTCGAGAGGTTTATGTAGCGACGTCGAACGGAAATTAGCGCGAACAGGAGATAAATCGAAGTCACGTAATGACGGATTTCTGTTGTCCATGCTACTGGCCACGACAGTATGTACGTTTTGTGTGTATTGTGTGCGTGTGTTAGTATGCGTGACATGCAAGGACAATGTCGTTATTATTCACAGACCATGAAAAAGAAAGAATTCATGAGTGTATAATGTATCATTTATATGTGTGTGTGTGTGTGTGTGTGTGTGTGTGTGTGTGTGTGTGCGAGTATGCGTGTACGCAAAAGTGAGGTAGTCGATGCGCGATGTGCCGAATAAATAATAGCTGATTTACGTGGCCGCAACTATATATGTATATATAGCGCGACATATACATACCTATATTACATATACATAGACACCGAGATCGCACAAGTTTTTTTTTTTTATCGTACGTAAGAAGAAAAATGGACATGCGTATATTGTATGCGAAATATATCGTAATTTGCGCAGATTTATTATTATTTGTAAATACGACAGTGTCACAGAGTCTGTGTTATCGAGGGAAAGCGATGACGTGATTTCGGACCCGTTCACAATTGCGAGTCTTGTAATTTGAATCGCGGGTGAGTGACGAGCGACCGGTAATGTCAGGGAAAGTCGCATCGAATCGATGAAACGCCGTCACCTGTTGATGATCGAACGCGAGATACACCAACGAGGGTCTGGGGCGATCATGAATGTGATTTAAGCCGATAATGGGCAACATATAAGAAAGCAATGCGGTATTACGCGATACAAACGCCAATTGTCGATAAAAAATAAGGAAGATAATAAATGCAGCACGTTGCCCGCGAAGCGCATTATTGTTTCGTCTTTAGCAATATTCTTTGTGGACCACGTTGCCGATTATGTAGCCTTAAATAGCGAAAGTGAAAGTAGACACGTGTGCAATTGGAATTAGCGTAACGTAAACGAGAATATAAGGAGATCCGAAGTAACAGTGTTAACAAGGAGCCGTAATTACGAGCTATTGCACGTAACTATCTGTGTCAGAATTTTGCGGTTCGTGGCTCAGTTGCGCTAACTCGCTTATCGCCAATTTTGGTTTAGTCTATTCCCTCCAAATGTAGAAAAAGAAACAGCTAATGGAAAGACAATACAAGAGTTTCAAAAAGGAAACGTCTAAAATTATGTCTGAAATATTAGAATTGATGCTTGATTATTTTTTTTCTTCTTTTTGGAAAAGTATTGACGTCGAAGATCGCTAATCTGGATTAGTAATGCAACTCTCAATCTAAATAACACAGTTAACAGTTGAAAACAATTAAAAATATTTGATTATCCAATGATCTTATTAGCTTCGGAATTCGAGAACGTTATGCATTTCCAATAAGAGCGTACGAAACTACATCTACCATATCGCGGCAATTGGATGTTGCGTGCCACGGTTAAGATTAAATCACGAACAAATCATGGTCATTACGCTGTTATTCGATAAACAATCTCCTCGCATTGTCGAATCTTATTAAAAACGAATAGCATCGTTAAAATATTAATTATTATTGTCATTGTGATGGGCGACTGTCGTGACGGTCATTGTTAGGAGCTGACCTACTGAAAGTAGCAGCTTGAGCGGGTTCTTCGTAATTCTAGTGTCGACGAGATTTGCAGAATCGAGTTAAAAATTATGCACAAAATCTCGAAAGTTTACGTGAGCGCGATTTTGCTTTTATAAGAGATTTATGGCGGAATTTTATATCCTAGTTTTATATATATATATATATATATATATATATATATATATATATATATATATATATATATATAATGCATTTATTAATATTGAGAAAGCAAGAGAGAGAGTTTCTTTGAGATTTTTCCAGAAAAAGAAAAAAAAAATCTAATTTTATGGCAAACACTAGTGCGTCTTTTACTCTGAACGTTAAAAGCGAATGCATAAGAATACAGGTGAGATAAAATTGTATAGAGCATGCGCTTACGTTTCCATGTTACCATTTGTCACGAATAAATCGTATCCGACGATTAGTTTTAAACAGTGAGTTGCGGAATAGTGTCAGATATACTTTCTTCTTGGATGGTTTCATCGACGGGATCAGAAACAGAGATTGTATATTCGGTGATGTTATCGTTTAGTCCGATATGTGATGTATACACACACACACACTCACATATATAAATATATATTTGTTATATTTATTAAAATTTTAAAAATATTGAAAGCGACGCATATATGTATAATAAATATGTATAGAACTTGGCAGCTAACTGAAATATATGGAACGAGCGAACGTTTCCATGGAAGATGCGAATTTATTTTGGTTCGAATCGATATCTCGATGAAATCGTCCAAATGTGGCACAATCTTTCGGAGCTGGGCCAGTGCACTATCTTATCGCTCTTCCATTCACGGAGAGGAAAGGAAATGTTCCATTATCTTGTATCTATATCATGGTTCCACCATGGTTCCATAGTGGATCGTGCCTTTCTATAGTTTTTTCCTCACACAAGTCGTTTCATTAATTCTTCATTTGTCGAAAAATTTGATTCTGTTCCTATAGGTAAACGCGGAGCGATTTTACGTTTCATATTCAAGCCACGAATTTTTAATTTAAAATAGTAGATAAAATAAAGATAAAATTAAATTTGATCTTTAAACACACACATACAGAATATATGAGGTATCAAAGAATACACATGCATTTTTTTTTTTTTTTTACTTTTCTTTCCGTTGTATATCATATCATGTTTATAATAATTTTCTAATGTGAGATTGCTCCGCCGTTTTAGAAAAAAATTGAGAAGCAAGAGAAAGAAGCTACTTGTGCCTCGAGCGCGTTATCTATTCTAGAAATTAAGTAATTAATCGAAATGATGTCATTTCTATAAGGATATATGTGTGGTGAACGATCGTCAGTGCTATTTGGAATTTGACTTTTTCTTGTCTTCGATAGCGGTTCGCTGGGCTCCACATTTTTATAAAAAGCGTAAAGTATCGCCGTCAAATATACATCATCGCGCGTTTAATGGTATATATTATAAGAGATATTATATACGGAGAAAAAGAGAGAGTATGAGAGAGAGAGAGAGAGAGAGAGAGAGAGAGAGAGAAATGGGGTTTATTGATCTTATAAAAAAAAAGAAAATATATCCAGTAGGATAGATTATATAAGACGCGATTAAAGTAAAGAATCACGATCGGAAGAGACTGACGAATACAACGTCGTTCCGTAAAGATAATCACTTTTAATCCAAATCGCTATAAGAAAAACGATGGATCACGTTATTATTATTGCGCGTGAATGTGAGAAGAAAACGTGAAAGAAAAGAAACAAAAAAAAAGAAAGGAAAATTACCAAACTCGTCAATATAACTACGTCCCCTCGTACCCCGTTTTCTCTCGTATCATTAAATTATTCGTTATTGCGTGTCTCTTAGAAAGATGTCTAGCTGAAGACTTAAAGATGGATTATTATTATTATTATTATTATTATTATTATTATTATTATTATTATTATTATTATTATTACTATCGGTGCAAGAGAGAGAGATGAAAGTGTGAAAGAAGGTATCTCTTTAATAGTGACATTTAATAAGTGCTATACTAATTTAGGAGTAACTGACTCGACACAAGTCGAGTAAGAGTAAACGCGATGTGAATGATTGCGCGACTCGTGAAATTCGTTAGGAAATCAAATTCATATTGTTCGTGCCACGATTCTCATCAACTTTGTTTGTACTCTCGCCACTGTGACCTGTAATTCCATCGAGAGGAGTTACATTAATGTGTGAAGAGAGAGAGAGAGAGAGAGAGAGAGAGAGAGAGAGAGAGAGGAAGAAGGGAGAACGAGATGAGGTGAATCAATAGTACCTTGCGTACAGTGCAATTAATACAGATGAAAAAACTATATAATGCTGCCGTATAAAAGTACGCAAATGATCAAATACATATAATACATGGTTAAAGGCACTTAGCATGCGTGTATATCGTTGTATATCTGATGGTGCCATTCGAATGCGGATCGTGGAACGAACACAAGCAGAATATAAATAAAAAACACACACACACACACACACACACACACACACATATATATATATATATATATATATATATATATATATATATATATACACATACACAATTCATTGAATCAATCGCACGGTTTGAATGGTTGCGTGTATTTCAGATGTATATGGGACTATGTGCATGACTGCGTTAAACGTGTTATTAGATTACGAGGAAAATATTTCATTCTCATTCTGTGATGACTGTCTGCTGAATATGAGAGGCGAGAAGAGAACAAGAAATGTTTACATAAAGTCTTAAGGCTAATGGATTAATAAATTGATTTAGCAAATAAAGATTTAATTAACATTCGTTGTACTAACTGCGCAAGAAAAAGAGGAAAGGGAGAAATGAATCTTTATAAACGTAAAGAGACGCGCGTGTCTCTCGTTCGTTACGTGTGTGAAAAAGAGACGGACACGATAAATTCATCGCGCGCAAGATGTAGGACTCTTTAACATGTTAAAAACGAAGAAAAAAAAGAAAACCGAAAACACGCTGTATCCGAGTTGCGGCGAGAAGAGAACAGTATGATTTGTATACTGTATAACTTTAGTCGTTTACCATTGCTTTCGAGAATATATAAGAGTTATGTGTATAAATTATTATGTGTAATTAAACAGAAGTCATTTAGTAAATTCTAAGCGTACGTAATATTATATATATATTATATAAATACCGAAAAGAAAAACGCGTATGCACAAACAATATAAGCACGCATACACACATACAGCAGTTCTTTTCCGCTAGCTTGTCTCCTTTTATTTCCGCGAATTTAGAAGTGCGCGAACACAAGTGAGTGTGCAAAACGTAACATAAAATGTCACGCCCGACTCACTCGCGCTCCGCATACTGTCACTCGCGTTCGCGCACTTCCGAATTCGTCGAAATAAAAGAAGACAAGTCAGCGGAAAAGAACTGCTCTGTGTGTGTGTGTGTGTATATATATATATATATATACATATATATATATATATATATGGGAGAAAAATTACAAGAGTAAAAAGGGAGAGCCATTGTATCATACGTTTGTGTAACTAAAACGATGTGTAAAATGATGATATAATTATTGAGGATATAACGATACAATAAATACTTACCGTATGTCTTGATATGCCGTAAATGGCAGATGCCTCTGTGGCAATTAGCGTTCAGGTGCAATTTTCACAAGGTATATATATTTTTTATCGCATATCATTTTAATGTATCACACACAAGAAAGAAACAGTTATATTTTTTTCTACTACGCTTATATGTTTATTATGCAATATGCCATGATTTGTTACAAATGCAAAAGAAGCTTTAGAAATGTTCATAAATACAGAAAGGAAAAAAAATAATAGCAATGATAGATAAAACAGATTTTTAGATAGATCATATTAAAATATTATAAGATAAATATCATAACATAAATTAATTATAATAACGTTAATTAATTTTCTTTAACATTTATGATTGGAATAGAATTCTATATTACTAGAACTCTGCGAGACTCGATTAGAATTTCAGTTAATATCTTCAATTGAGTATTTCTTTAACGCTCCGCTATGTGCGTCTTTAAAAACGTAATTTGCGCTCGAGATTCCAGCGCGGCTAACTCGGCCACAACAGGAGCCATTTGTTGGACATGATTTTCGTAATTAGAACCTGTAAGATACACAGACATATAACAATTGACAAAAAACATTTTTGTTACTTATTCAAGAAAGAAATAGCGAAGAAAAGCCCTTATTTTTGTTTTATATAATAATTGTTGATTGTAACATAAATGAAAAACAATATTACATACCCATTGCCATTCTTTTTTCGCCATACGTAACTTTTCCATCAAACTCGTTCATTGGCACTTTTATGTCCGGACTGACTTGTTGAATCGTCACATTCAAATGATCTTCAATTTCTGCCAAGTACTGTGAAAACATCAGTTAGTTATAAATACTCATCCATTAATCAAGTTTTATATAAAATTTTCTTGTCTCAAATCAAGAGTAGATTATATTCGAGCCTTACCCGAGGTTCATTGTACCATACGCAACAGCCACCTTGATCAGTCAAGTTGGTATTGTTGCAATTTCTTCCGCGAGAAGGGCACCAGGAGCCGTGATACCACACTTTTTCTGGGACACTACTGACTAAAGAAATAGCCAGACCCATTCTTTCAGCTCTACCAACTCTTCCAATGCGATGCACATAATTGGACTTCTCATCGGGCAAAGTCACATTTATCACTAAAAAAAATAGTGCAAAAATAAGTACCGTGTTGTTGCTTTCGAGTGATTTTGTCCAAATAATTACTCACTAAAAGGCAGACCGGTGATATCCAATCCTCTAGCAGCTACATCGGTGCAGATCAAAAATTTCACCTCTTGACGTTTAAACTTTTCCAAATTAGCCTTACGCTCTGCGGGCTTCCTGTCTCCGTGCAGACATACGCACGAGAACTTCTGTCGATCGGATTTCTGCAGATACCTCTCGAGATTATCGCAATCGAGTTTTGTTCTGCAGAATATCAATGCCCGATCCATGTTATGTTCTTTAATAGCGCGAATGCAGTACTCTCCCTTTAGTATCTTCACAGCCTCTGACAACGAGCCTGTAGGACGAACGTAATTATTAGATCATATCTTGTTATCGCTCTTGTTATTTTTATCGCGTGAGAATGGGATTATTATCTAGCGATTAAGACAATTTGTCTAACAGGCAATATCATTTGTTCTATTCATCTCGTCTCTCTTGTGCACGCCGTCAGTTTCTATGCCGTGCCTCAAGTCACGCCACGATTTGTCCTTCTGCGGGTCTACCATCACCACGATATGATGTACGGTCTCGGGTACTGCATCTTCGCCCTTTAGATCTACCCAAGTTGGGAAATGCATCAAACGTTCCTGCAATAAAAATCAAACGCTCAAACGTCGTACGTACATACGTATATATTCGCTTACTTACTTATATATTACACAATTATAATGAATGATGCGGATACATTTCGTGCCATCAGATACTTACGGCCATCTTTTTAACGTCGAATGAGTGTAATGTCGCCGAGCACACGATCATTTGCAATCTCTTGCCGTCAGATGTAATTTTCGGGATTTGTCTGTGCAGACGATCGATAAGTTCGGTGTAACCTTGGTTTAGTAGACCGTCAGCTTCGTCCAGCACAAAAAACCTTAAAATACATTAATTTATAGTTTATACCGACCTGGTGTTATTTCTTTGCGAGTTAAATCATAAATTACCTGCAATGTGTTAACAACAAATAACCGCCTTGTATGAGATCCTCCAATCGTCCGGGAGTCGCGACTACTATGTCCACGCCAGAATTCAAAGTAGCAATCTGCTCTTTTACGTTTACTCCACCAATAACAAGCAGTTCTCTGATCATCGGATCCTTTAAATGTGTCTTGAACTAAAAAATAATAAGGCCACTTGGTTAATATCATATAAACTACCGTTCAAAAGTTTACAAGACTTTTTAACAACTACCTTTTTAAGAAAACCAACAATGGTGTCAACTTGTAAAGAAAAACGTCATATATGAGAAACTTTACTGCGTATCTTTTAATTATTAAACACAGTATTACACTTGTTTGTAATCATTTTTCGAGGAAAAATTTCATTTAAAGAATTTTATTGGCATCACTGTTGTGTTTATCTTAAGAAGGTATAGTACTTGCAAACTTTTGAACGATAGGGTATAGTTTCGATGGTAAGTTTATTTGACGTCTCACCTTCTGAATTTGATTGTAAGTTTGTTCAGCTAATTCGCGAGAAGGTTCTATGATGATCGCCTGAGGTGCGTTATTTCTCGGTTTATCGCTTTCGTTAGAGCTCTGCGTGCTGTTAACAGGATTGTACTTGACAGATTCTTTTGGAGCCGACGATACAGCTACATAGTCATTTGGGGGTGGATGCTTAAACGCGTGCGCTCCAAAATTGAAGGCCATCTCAGCGTTTTTCAACACGACAGCGGGATAGTAAGTCTGTGATTTTTGCTGTGCATTTAATGTAAATGCGACACCCAAATCTACGCCGTTCTTGGTAAATTTTATTTCGCCCTTCACCAAATCGAGGAAACATCCGATCACGTCATGCATCCCAAAAGCCTCTCCATAGTTATCGAATTGCTTCGCATTCGATTTCTTTCCCGTACCACCAAATCCATAACCGAATTTATCTGTTCCTAAATCTAAAGCAGCCTATTCCAAGAGTAAAAAAAATTCTTAATGAATCTTTCTCAATCAAAAGTAATTTAGAGCAATGATTATCGTATCATTTATGAAAAAATGCTTGCCTGAGACGTAGACCAGCCAACTCGGCATAAACCCTCGTCGGTGACCGTTGCTTCGAAAAAATACTTGCCGCTTCCCGATACCCCTTTATTTGCACGACAACCATGCCATTCTTTTTGTTCTCTACTCTGACATCTTAAACCATCCAGCGTTACTGCCATGGCATGTCCTCTATCAAAGAGACTCAGTCCCCAATGTGTCGCTATAAAAAATAAAATATTTCTACTACTTTTGACAAGTTGACAAGTCGACAAGTTGTAAGATTGCACTTTTGTCAAACGTTAATACATACGTTGTTGAACTACAGCAGTTCCAGCTCCTTTTCCAGACTCCAAATCTTTAAGAGTCTCCCAAACTATTTGCAAAATAGGCAAACAGAAAGCACCAGTTTTTCCACTACCAGTTTCTGCAGCCATGAGTACATCGCCACCACCCAGAATCAATGGGATAGCTTCGGCTTGAACATCTGTCGGTAGTCTGCAATTTATATTATGTTTTTGAGACTAATGATATTATCTTTTCTTCCTCTCTCTTTCTCTGATATATGTCACTTATGTCACTTTTTAATCGTAAAGTTACGTCTTTTGATCCTATCTTTACTTACGTCCAATCCATCTCATCAATAGCTTTTGCTATTTCTGGCAAAACACCCATTTCTAAAACGTAAAAAAGATTAATATATAATTGTGATATGTGTGTAGAAAATGATACAAGAATATAACAATTATTGCGCAAATTGACACAAGTAAACTGACATTTTGCACAAGCTAAATTATAACACAAGTAATTTGCTGAAAGCGTCATACGTCATACCTTCGAAAGCAGTCATTCTTTATCAATTGTGTTTATCTCGATACGTATAAAAATGCGAAAAACGTGCTATGCTAAATTAGAATATATGCCAGCCGGCGGTCCTCGTCCGCATGTATCTTGAATCTTGATGTATCTCATCAAATCTCAACAGCTCGAGTTCTCGACTTCTCGAGCAGGTTAGATTGGACAATTAAACGGTATTCGTGTTTACCGCCAGATGGCTTTGCACTCTTCGGTGAAAGATCCCTCTGCCCTGCCGACTGGATTGAACAGTGCCCAATCAGTGCCCTTTTCGAACACCGGGGAACACGTGATCACTGGCCAATCAAAGAAGAAGAAGAAGAAGAAGGGGAACACGTGTCACACGTGAGGTGAGGAACCTACTGAGGGTCGAGGGATCATATCAGATCGTATTTACTAAAGCAGAAGAAGAGGAAAATCAGTTTCACAGGTATTTATTTTCTATAAACCAGACCTATTTCTAATAGGACATCGACTGTGGCTGCGGCATCCACTTGACGCCTTGACACTACAAATGCTTCGAAGCATTCCTCTTCTCCTTCTTTCTGAAGAAAAAAGAGAAGAACGCTTCAAAGCATTTGTAGCTTGTAGCGTCAAATACTCAAGTGGACCGGACCGCAGTCTGTATTGTAAACTTATTATATTACATCGTATTCAATTGTTACTTGGCCGGTTAGTGAGCACAAGTAAGCACAGAATCGGTATATATTACACGTGACGTACGTTACATTCGACAGCGTGACTTTCAACAGCGATTGCGACTGATTCAAATTGCTTCTATTACGTATTAGCTAGCTGTATTGAAAATACCAGTAATATAAGAAGAAGAAGAAGAAGTAGTAGTAGTAGTAGTAGTAGTAACTAGGTAGTAAGTAGGATCTTATCAAATATAGAATTTAGTGGGCCTCAGTCAGACAATTGTTGCCTGTTCTTTTCAGCTCAACTTCTTGCATGGTTCATCTTTTTTTTCTTTTTCTCTCCAACATGAAAAGAAAAAGAGGAAAGATTACGCATAAGTTAGTATGCGATGTTTTGCGAGAATAAGGTTTCAAGTTTCAACTGAAAAGAACAGGCCTTGTAATTCACTTTTCGTGTGCGTACGTTTTTTCAGTAACATTCCCTATTTTTAAGCATTTTTAAAAATCTGAAAAAATTTACAAAAACATCTGTCTACATTGTAGTGTAGTTGACAATTTTCTAGTCATTTCGATAACATCATTTATTTGATATTTTCTGGCTGGTTTGCAAGTTTCAAGTTTTGTGGTTACGAATAGATATTTTATTTTGGCTCGGATGCCGTAGACCCACGTATGCACACGGAGGTTAAAATTATCGAGACTCAACGAGTCCATTATTTGCATATCGAAACAAGACCACGAACTCAATTTAATATATTTTTGAACGATATTGTTTTAATTTTGCACAAGTAATTTATTACATATATTTACAATTATTTAATTTAATATTATTGTAAAATTTTTTATGCAACTTGCAGATCACGAAAGATTGTGTGAAAAAGATTTTTAACCATGGATTCTTCAAGTTGGAGAGATGTTACATCTACACAGTCTGTTTGTGAAGAAACTTTTGTCAAGGATTACACAGAAGCAGAAGCTGAGGAATATTTAAAGGTACAAGCATTATCATTTAATCATACAAAGTTTTTTGCACATTTGAAAGATAGATACTTATTCTGCAAAGACATATAAGACGTGTCATCTATTATGTTTCTACATTTCTTTTAGTTTATGAATAATAGAGAAAGGGTTGAGAATAGAAAGGAGTCTTGCAAGTTAGATATGACGTTCCAAGAATTAGAAGACAATATGCAAAAACTCTATAGGGACGATCTGGCTAAAGTCTATCGAGAGTGCAGTTTTACTTACAGTCCACAATCTAATAATGATCTATCTGTTCTGGCCATGAAGGATAAAATACTACCGATAATCGAGACAAATTCTGTAGTCGTCATTCGAGGACCAACTGGCTGTGGAAAAACCACTCAGATTCCACAATTTATTCTCGATGCTAATATCAAAAAGAGACTTAACTGCAATATTATAGGTATTTTTTAAATCAGTTTTACTATTACACGTAACGTAATACAAATTATACAAAACGTACAATATTGATATAGTTACGCAACCAAGACGAATCGCCGCGATAAGCATTGCCAAAAGAGTGTGTCATGAAGGAGGTTGGCGTCTTGGTACCCTCGTGGGCTACAAAGTGGGTATGCAACAGGAAGTCTCACCTGAAACCCGTTTAACTTATTGCACCACCGAAATTCTCCTGCAACATTTGATTCACCAAAAGCATTTGTTGGACTATACGCACATTATATTGGACGAAATTCACGAACGCGATCAAAATTTGGATTTTCTTTTACTTGTGGTTAAAAGATTATTACAAACAAATTCCAGACAAGTTAAAGTTATTCTCATGTCGGCAACAATCGACGTAACGAAATTCGCGAGGTACTTTTCTACAAAAGTAGAAAATAATTTAATTCCAGCGCCAGTTATCAAGATACCCGAGAAAAGAAATTTTCAGATTCGTACGTATTATTTGGACGAGATAAACGATATAGGAAATGTGAGTAAAGATTATGTGAAGAATATTTAGAGAGTACGTACTTATAATTTTATGATTTTGTATACGTGTGTCGATTTTATAGATACCAGAAGTATCTGTCATGGAACCGAAAGTCACTCAAAGCATGATGAAGTTTTGCTCGCTTATTATCAATGCTCTAGATGAAATTGATATGAATGATAACGAAGAAGACTCAACGCCGCCTCAGAGACATGCCGTTCTCGTATTTTTGCCAGGAATTTATGAAATTGAGGAATTATATGATTACTTGTCGGTTTTCCATGAAAAATTATGGGACCTAACAATTTTGCATTCATTGATTTCTGATGATAATGAACAGCATCGCGTTTTCCAAAAACCACCGCAAGGTTACAGACGCATTATACTCTCTACAAATATTGCTGAAAGCAGTATTACGGTGCCAGATGTAAAATATGGTAAATATAAAATTTTTATGAATTATATATCATCATAATTCTTGAGAAAAGAAAACGACAGTTTAATTACAAAGAAATATTTCAAATATTTTAAAAAATTTTAAATAAATATTATTTTATAATAATAATTAATGATAAGTGAAAAGACAGTGGTTAATTAAATACGTATAATTTATAGTGATAGACTTTTGTCTCGTAAAACTGCTGACATTTAATCCTGCAACTTATTATCAAAGTTTGCAACTTTGTTGGGCGAGTAAAACAAATTGTACTCAACGAGCTGGTCGCACGGGTCGTGTAATGGATGGCAGAGTGTACAGATTAGTACCAAAAGCATTTTATGATGTAAGTAGTTTATATAAGAATTATATTATGCTAATATTGTGATATATGAAACAAAATTTTTATTTGGAATTTAAAACTACGTTTAACAGCATCTAATATTTAATAAGTAATATAAATTTAATGGATTATTATTATTTTATATTCTTGTAATTATATAATACTTTTTTTAAAGATCTACAAGTGATATTCGCGTGTTATAGTCCATAATATATAGTCCGTATATATTGTTACACGCGCATATATATATAAATATCACTTGTAAATCTTTAAAAAAAACTATCATACAGTTACAAGAATATAAAATTATAATAATCCATTAAGTTTATATTATTAATTATTTATTATATTTTTTCATGTAATATTTATTAATTTTATTTTCCCATAAAATTTACAGAATATTTTAGAAGACCACAGTATGCCAGAAATGCTCCGTGCCCCACTCGCCAATGTCGTTCTCCGCGCCAAAATTCTTGACCTCGACGAGCCACGTATCCTTCTTTCACATTCCCTTGATCCACCTACTCTCTCTAATTTGGCAAATACCATCTTAAGCTTAAAAGAGGTCGGAGCTTTGGTAGACGATGATTCTTATCAACTGTTTGACGGAAAGTTAACCGATCTCGGCAAGATAATGGCACATCTTCCGTTCGACATTCGAATTTCGAAATTAATCATGTTGGGCCATGTTTTTGGGGTTTTACGAGACGCTATTATTCTGGGGGCCAGCATGGCTGTTAAAGATGTTTTTTCTATGGAGCAATGCCATCCTACCGTTTCCTCTTATACGATTCGAAAAAAATGGGCTCACAATTCTGATAGCGACTGCATTGCCACCTTAAATGTTTATAAGACGTGGCAAAATGAAAAAGCTAACCGTCGATTAAACACTCATCAAGCCGAGAGACAATGGGGCCAGAGAAATGGACTTCAGATAAAAGCCTTGCGTGAATTAGATGCTCTGGTGAACGAGATCACCATTAGGTTGCTGAGATTGGGAATTAAAGAAAGTATAGGAGTTAATAAAGTCATTTGGCAAGGTATATTTAATTATTTAACGTTCAAGTTTTTTTGAATTATTCATTAAAATATTAAATTATTTGATTATTATTTTTCTTATTTTCTAATTATTTTTAATTATTTTCCTCATTTACTTCTAGGTGTAGATCGCGATTTTGTTCTTAAACTCGTACTTGCTGGAGCTTTCTATCCCAATTATTTTGTCAAACGTTTGCAAAATCAAGAAACTTATGAAGAAAATATTTCAATGACTCTCGGCAGTTTAGATCCTATGAAGACAGTTTATTTAAGAGGTTGGCCAATGAAACAACCTGGATATTTATATGCTAAGAAATTTCAAGAGATTTTTTCCAAACATCTAAGAATTCCAGAAAAACAAATAGTAATATCTTTTAATGCATCGCGTGTTTACGTGCAATTTCGCGAGAAAGAAACGGACATTGACGACAGTCTTCAAAATATATCGGAGTCTGTTTATCAGGTGATTATATTAATATATTTGCTTCATATAAATAACATGAATGAGAGTAAAATATTATATATACACGCACACATATGTATATAATTAAGCTATGATATTATATAAATTTATTACTTAATGTGTATGTGTAAACACAAATGAATATAATTATAAAGAAATATGTATAATATAGATATTCGGATTATGTAAAACAAAAATAGTTTAGTATTATTCTAATATAATAACGTTTATTTATCAGGCCGTCATGATGAAACAATGCAATATCCCGATTGAAATAAAGTTGTTGAATGTAGAAGAAGCAAATGAGAGGGCGAGACATTATGATGTCCATAAATTCGAAAGGAATTTTTTCTTTCGTAGAAATGTTAGGATGATAGAGACCAACGTTTCTAAAATCAGACCAACATTGCCAGGACTTGATGTAACTTTTATACCTTTATTTATACAAACTGTAAGTTTTCTTTTATTTTATTGGTTAGTAAAGAATAATTTTTATATAAAATTAAAAGAAATTTTTTATATAGGTGTCTTTCATTTTTGTCATTAAAAAATATTTATAATAATTAAAATAAATTGAATTATTGTATGCATTGTATCTTACTGTCTGCTACAATAATTAATAGATGCATGGCTATCTAATTACTAGCATAATAAAACTTTTATTTACTCTCTATTAATTAAATGTTTATTTTTTTGTAATTTTATATAGATATATATATATATATATATATATATATATATATATATACCTACACGTAATATTTTTAGATTATTAGCCCTGGATATTTCTGGGCAACTCTTGACGACGATACCACTCGTTATGAAATGCGAGTTATAGAAAAGAGTCTCAACAAACATCCTTTGAAAAAATTTCTCTCTATCCCAAAAACCTTCACCATAATCGCTGCCCCTATGGAAAAGAATAACTTTTCGACTTTTCATCGTGCCATAATTAAAGAATTCATCTCAGAAGTTGGAGAATTGGTCGACATTTTCTTTATTGATCACGGTCGTTTTTCCAGAGTACGATTAAGTGATCTAAGAGAAATTAATAATTCTACAATCTTAAATATTCCTCCCTTAGCATTTTCTTGCAATTTAGCTTTTTTGCGACCTTCAAATCAAAGTAATGTTCACCAATGGTCGGAAAGATCGAGAAATTATTTTGTGGCACAAATCAAGGAAAACGAAAAGATATTTGGAAAAATTTACTCGGTTGTTGATAGCGTTATTAACTTAGAGTTGATTGTGGTTAATAAGAAAGGAGAGAGATTTAATGTTAATGAGGGTTTGATTGAAAAAGGATATGCTGTAAAAAGGGAAGAAACCTATTTATCGAAGCATAATCATGAATTAAGGACAGATATAGATACGGTTAACGCAATGTCGATAGAGGAGAAAAAGTTTTATGAAGAGGAACAATATGACAAACATTGTTTGTTAGAAGTACGTAGAGTAGTTGAACTTTGTATGAAGATTTATGGTAGCTATTTGTTGAAAAATCAATTAATTTTATACTTTTATAGTATCCTAATCCACCTAGAGAAGAGGATTGCAATTTTAGCGTAAAACTCCAAGGTCCAGATTCTCCCTTAGAAATGGAGTTGATCCAGTTGACGTTGGGTGAAAAATTAAGGAAGATAAGTGTAGAAATGAATTCCGTCAATTCTGTCCTTTTAGATAACGATCTCAATCAATCGAGACGTCTTTTGGTCGCTCAGAGCATCACTCAATCCGTAAAAAATGTTCTAACGTTAAGAAATACCACTTTTCTGCCAAATATTCCTGGACTTGCGGCATTGCTCGCGCTAATTTTTGCACCGCGTATGGAATTAAGATGCAATTCTCGCAAAACTTATTATACGGGAGCTTTATGCGGTTTGGGCCCGATAGATAATTGCATTAACCGGGCTATGTTTCCCGATCACGATATGGAAATTCCATTTGACGTAGATATCACGATGGATGATGTGAAAGAGGTATATCATCTTCATAAATAATAAACTGATAATTTCGCAATACTTATCGTGAAATTTACATAAGATATTACATAAGATTGCTCATTTTCTGCTTCCTATCAATCTCCATTAATTTTATAGATAGATTATATAATTATAATGTTTTTCTATTATTATTACTTCATTTTTTACTCCTCTCAGCTTTATAAATAATAACATTGATCATCAATTTTTCTAGATAAATAAACTGCGTCACTGGATGAATACCGGGATGCGTTTAGATAACTCCAGTGACGAGGATATTATAATGTGTCAAAATAAAATCAAACACATTTTACTGAACGTGAGAGACAAACAAAGACAATTACGAAATCCAAAAGACGACGAAATCGATCGTCACAGCAATAAGTGGAATCGCTATAACAGACCACATATTTTGCCGTCCGTTCAAAAATCTGTGATAAAATACGACGTATATCCGTTGCATAACGCGTTAGAACTACGCGAAACAAATGAACAGATGGAGGAGATGCTTCAGCATCTCTCACAATTACAGGATCTTGCCTACGAGTATGTAGATATTATATTTTTTTTTGTATATTCTTAGATTTATATTTTATATATTTTTTGTTTTTTTTTTTTTTTTTTGTTCCAGGGATGCACGCAAAATGGCAAACGTGGCTGCTTTTTGTAAATTATGTGGAAAGGAAACGTTTGGCCTATTGGAGCTACGTTGTCATCTTCAATCGGAGCAACATGTAGAGAAAGAGAAACTTTTGCAGCATCAACTACATTAAGAGATTAAAAATAATCCCGAACCAACTTGCAGATTTTATTGTAATTCTGCAAGTTGGTTCTGGATTTTTTTAAATCTCCGATCCTCTATTTCAATGGTATAAACATGAGAAAGCATTTTTATGCATCATTTTTTTGTTCACCTTATGTATTACGTAATTATATAGCGAACGTATAGTGAGAACAGAATTCTCTGACTTATTATTAGAGAGAAATGCAGTTCTAGAATAAAAGAAGATAAAATAGAGACATTCTATTGATTCATGTAACAATAGGAGCAATTTACTTAAGTTTATGTGATAGTGTGGATATACAAAAAAGTTATTTTTTACGTATATTTAATTATATGTTATCTCTACAATAGATAACATATAATTTTATTATTTCTTATGTTAATTAAAATAATACGTCATTCTCTTAAGAAGGAGTTTGCTAAAAAAAGAGAATTTTTGTTGTCATCCATTATTTACATTGCCTATACGTGATCTCCATATTTCAATTTCTTTGACCAATTAATTACTTTTACAATTAATTAATTTAATTATAATATTACTTAATTTTGTTCCTTTTTATTTTTATTTTTCGAAGATTTTACACAACTATATTGTTGACAGGCAAAAGCCACATATGTACGAGTATGTATCACTATAAATAATGTGCATTTTGTAATTTTTTAAGAATATAATGGGAAAAAAAACGCATTAATGCTGCGAAATATTTGTTTTATAAACACATCTTCCCTGTAAATCACATTTTTCCACACATCTCTGTTCCTATATACTACTAAATTAATAAAAATTTCAAGAATCGTAATCCTCAGAATTTGAGTTTCGAAATTTCAATGCGAAAATCAACAAAATATGAAGAAGCGATATAAATCGAAACTTCAAATGGCGAAAATCAGAAGTCTCAAAAGTTGACAAAGTATCAAAAGAACATAATCGATAAAGAGGTTGCGCTATTTAGAATTTTAAAAATTTTCCCAAGTTCTAAGAATTGTGATCTTGAGAATTCATAAATATTTCTTGATACATCAATAAGATGGATTAATGATTACCAACAGTCGATAAAGTTCCAAACGTTAATCATACCGATTGTAAATATTCTGCAGCTGACATAAGTTTAAAAACACTTAAAAATTAACAATGATTAGAAGAATGAAATCAAAAAGAAACAGAAACAAATAAGAAGATAAAAAATATGTGATTTTAAGAATTTTTGTTTTTTATCAATTATAATAGGTATAAGGTTTGGAGTTAGGTTAGGTTATGGTTATACCTCATAACCTCATGCATTCGCATGATTGAAAATTTTGTGAAGAAGTGTGTATTATGCTGAAAGCGAAAACTATATACATATGGCTAGTTGATTAATAAATTTATTAAAAACACAAGTTTTCGTTTGTTACTTGTAAATTTCATTATAATTCTCACAAGAACCAAGTAATAAAAATGAAACATACATTGTTTGATCGCCTTTTTCTACATGCGAGTTTTTGCTGTCGGAGATTACGTTATTGTACTTCTCCTGCAAATGCAACAGAATCATGGAACAATAAAAGACTAACAGGTATTTTTTCTATTATCTTACTTTTTTTTACACCCAGCTTGCATACACTAAAGCTTGCAAGTATAAGTGAATCAACTGAAAATTATCAATTAAAAATTAATAAGGATTAACTGGAAGGTAATATCTTGTTGTATTAATCTAAAATTTATATTAAAATACAGATTTTCCTGCAACTTTCAAGCCAAAGGATGTAGAAAAAGGCTGGTATGACATTTGGCAATGTAATAAATACTTTGCATCATCCAGGATAACAAAGAGAACAAACAATAATGCGCAAGAGGAAAAGGAAGCCAAAGAATCCTTTAGTATGGTTTTACCACCACCTAATATTACGGGAATATTACATCTGGGCCATGCACTTACTGTTACAATCCAAGATGTTCTGGCGAGATGGTTAGCAAAAGTATATAGTAAAATAATGATATAATATAATAATAAAATAACACATGTACATAAATAATAATATATGTGTAACATAATACATAATGCATGATATTACAATATGATAGTTTGGAATATTGTGTAATAACGTAATATATGTTTATTACGTTATTACACATTACATATTATAGAATTTTTATCGCGCTACATTTATCTATTATAGGTAAATTTACCGTTATTATAGATTTTTCTCTACTACTCACGCACATACACACAGGCACAGAATGAAGGGTCATCCAGTATTGTGGATACCGGGTCTGGACCATGCAGGAATTGCGACACAGGCGGTAGTGGAACGTACGTTGCGGCATACACGCAACATTACACGACACGATGTGGGCCGTGCCGAGTTCACGCGACTGATCTGGCAGTGGAAGACGGAAAAAGCCGCGATTATCAAGGAGCAGTTGAAAGCCCTCGGCGCTACGCTCGATTGGGACAGAGAATACTTTACCATCGATGAAGTAATATATTTTTCTGTTGTGCTATACTAAAATTTATTGTTACAATTACATTTGTCGCTTTATTTATTTGTTGTATTTGTAATATTATTGAATTTTTATTTATCTCAGAATCATAGCGCGGCAGTGACAGAAACGTTCGTACGATTAAACGAGAGAAATCTGTTGTACAGAGCCAGAGATCTTGTTAATTGGTCGCCAGCTCTGCGCAGCACTATCTCAGAGATCGAAGTCGAAGACTTTGTGGTGAACGGCAAGACACGACTCCAATTACCTGGCTATGATACCAAGATCACCGTCGGCCAACTAATCAAACTGGCCTACCCAATCAGAGACTCGAGTAATTTAAATAAGCTCAAATAAGAAATTATATGAATTATATATATATTATGCGTATAAAGAGATAAAAATAATCAAATGTTTTCTAAAAGCCTGTTTTTTTAATTTTAATTTTAATTTTAATTTCAACTTTCTAACAGATTTGTAAATTTCTTTGGTTTCACAGCGGAAGAACTGATAATTGCAACAACTAGGCCCGAGACAGTTTTTGGAGATGTAGCGATTGCTGTGCATCCAAACGACGATAGGTATTCGAGATATATTGGTCGGCACGTTTTACATCCCATAAGAGAGACTTTTATACCCATCATAGCCGACTCTTCGGTCAAGAGAGAATTTGGCACTGGTAAAAATTTATATAGAATAAATTGATAAATTAGAATAAATTTATGTAGGATATTTAATACAGAAACAAAAAAATTATACAAGAAAGCAAATTTCTAGTAATTATTCTGGATTAAAAATTTTATTTATATTATAACTAATTTATATGTAATATATATAACTAGTTTACATATTTATTTTTTACTTAATTATTGATTTGTTAATTATTTATTTTATTTGATTATTGGTGAGTATTTGTTTTACAGGTGCAATAAAAGTTACACCGGCACACGATCGCTTAGATTACAACATCGCCAAAAGACATGGCTTGCCAGTTATCAGAGTTATTGATGAAGATGGCAACATGACGGATGCATGCAAGGAATTCAAGGTGTGTGATCCCGTCTAAGAATTATTCATTTCTTATTATTAATTGTCTTATTATTAATAATAAATTGTCTCAGGGAGTTCCGAGATTCATCGCACGGAGGAGACTAATGAATCAATTATCGACACGAGGCATGGTGAGAGGTGTGGAAGATAATCATCGGATGATACTGCCACTATGTTCGCGTACACATGATGTGGTTGAGTATTTGCCAAAGGAACAGTGGTTCTTGCGCTGTGCGACAATGGCTAAGCGGGCATGCGAAGCCGTGGCGAATGGTGAACTAAAAATCGATCCGAACGATGACGGCATTCACGAACAAATATGGTATAACTGGCTCGAAAACCCCAGGTAAAATTATCATTTAATTATTAAATAAATAAGCAAACTTGTTTGCACAAGAATAAAAAGTTTATTTTTTCTTTAGGGACTGGTGCGTGTCGAGACAGTTGTGGTGGGGTCATCGAATTCCGGCGTATTCCATAATTCATGGTGATCGTAAAGACGATGATAGTGATAGTGATATTTTCTCCACCAGTAGCAATAGCACCACTTCGTGGATAGTCGCACGATCCGAAGAAGAAGCGCGTTCTCGCGTACGAGAGAAATACGGAGACACAGTGAGCCTGCGTCAAGATCCAGATGTCCTGGACACGTGGTTTTCCTCGACAATTGTGCCATTTGCTACGCTTGGCTGGCCGAAAATTGTTAGTCTCTTTATTATTCTTCTTTGGTATATATATATATGTATGTATGTATATTTTATTAGATATAACTTTGTATATATTTTCTTACATATCACAAAAATTTATAGACGGAGGATATGGCAAGACACTATCCCCTAACACTGATGGAAACGGGCCATGATATCCTCGTGTTCTGGGTGGCGAGGATGGTGATGCTAAGTCTGGAACTGACACAGCGTTTGCCATTTAAAGTATAATTATACAACAGATATAAATTATTTATATCTGTTTTTATCAGTATTTTATGAGAATCTTAATTAACTTTTGTATATTGTATTAACAATAAGTAGTCCGATCTATTCATCATTGAGGCATACTACTATAAAATTTAATATTGTAAAGGACGATATCATTAGTGTGCTTAAATTGATAATACAATTGATAATTATAAATTATGTATGTGTGCAGGAAGTTCTACTTCATGGCGTTTTATGTGACGGCAACGGCAAGAAAATGTCTAAGAGCTCTGGCAATGTTATCTCACCAGAAAACATTATCAATGGTTGTACCTTTGAGGTGAATATTTTTCGAAATTATAGCAATAATTATATTATTTGGCTTTATTCACTTATAAAATATAAAAATTCTTAGAATCTCTCTGTAAATAAAAATTGATTAAGTACCAACAAACTGGAATTATTTAAAAAGAAATATAGTGTGTTGTAGTTTTATTATTTTAAAATTGATTAGAATATGCACGTATAATGCAGGAATTGAACGAACAAGCAAGACACAGTCACGCGGCTGGTATTCTGAGCGCCGAAGAATTGCAGCGAACGTTGCGTGTTAATACAAAATCGTATTCCACGGGAATACCAGATTGCGGTGCCGATGCTTTGAGACTATCATTATGTGCGCGTAATATTAAGAGTAAGCAAATTAAGAATCTTAAGAAAGAGAAAGTGAGAAATTTGTAAGAGAATTTTAAAATCTTGTTAAAAAATTTTTTTTTATTTCAAGAATCGAAAAAGTAATTTAAATAATTTATAACGAGATAAATATTTTATTATTATACTATATATCTTGTCTCTTTTCCTATAGATCACACCATCAGTTTCGATGTGGATGATTGTCGGACAAGCAAATATTTCTGTAACAAGATCTGGCAGGCAAGCAAATACGCGTTACTGATGATAAAGGAAGATCAACTTGAAAATGAAGGAAAGGAAAATCTGAACGATCTTGATCAATGGATTCTGAGTCGATTATCGTGGATGATAGGAATAGTGAACGATGCGTTTGCCCAGCGAAATTTCCATAAAGCAATCGCTGCGATTCGCCAATTTCTGCACTATGAATTCTGCGATTTCTATGTGGTATGATATAAATGCGCAATGTTATTTAATATAATGTAATAATAATATTTATAGGGTTTTTATAAATTTGTAAATTCTGTAAAAATATTAAGAATTTCAAGATTTTGATCACTATAACAATAATTTGGTTTATATAATTAATTTTAAGTAGTTTAAATTACTTAAAGTAATTCTTAGTTAAAACATTTTTTTTTTATATTTTTAAACATAGGAGGGTACAAAATTTGGATTCAAAAGCGGCAATTCCGCTGGACATTCCAACACTCTTGCGAAATGCCTGGAAGTGTCATTACGCATCCTCGCACCTGTTACACCCTATCTGTCGGACGATTTATATCTGAGACTTGCCAAAAAGGGACTTCCAGGATTTCAGTCAGTTGCCTCGTTGCTTGAGACTTCCTATCCCATGCCATGCGAAGTATGTGAACTAAATACTCATATTATCACTCTTTCTTATATAACTTTCTCTTACTGTTTTTATCCTAAATGCTACTATATACATGTTAAATAATTTATTTTTATTTATTTTCTATTCTCATTTCTTCTTCTAATATCCTTCTAATAGTTTGAACATCTGAGAGACATCACGTTGGAGGAAAGAATGCGTGATCTCGTGGATGTGATAAATGCGATCAGAAGCTGCATGGCGAACGTGAGCAAAAAGTCGAATCCAGAAGGTAAGTATTAATAATTGGCGAAGTAGATATGCTAATTAAATAATTTAAATATATAAGGTAAATTTTAATAAATGTGCTTCTATTTGCATAGTTAATATTCTGGTTGGCAATGTGCACGATTATGATTTTTATCAGAAAAATGTGAACCTGATTAAAGGAGTGAGCAGAATCTGGAACGTGTCTATTTATTTAACAGAATCAGCAAATAATGGCAATTTTAATAGGATGACAACGGCACAAAACAATAATTCCAATGATGGCAGTATTTATACCATCCAATATATGCATACAAACGATTGCTCATTACTCATTACAGCTATAGTAAGTGAAAAAAAAACATGGTGCTCGATTATACTTTAATATAAATTAAATGTTATACATTTATATCATAATTATAATTATTTTTTGCATATAAAGGATTTATCATATGTGTTATTTTTCAGGATACTTCGATATTGGAACAAGTTAAGAAGAATATTGCGAAGAGGAATAAATTGGAAGGAGTGTACTAATTATAAGAAGAAGAAAATAAAATAGTACGCGTACAACGTTATAGCTTCCATTCGCTTACGTCCCTCACCTGTGAATAATGTAATTAATATATAAATAAAAAAACTATTCATATATTTGGTTGTGGTCCTGCTAAACGCAAAAAATTACACAAAATTACTGCGAGAAATAATGTGTATGGACACATTTAATCCAACTGAAACCATGTAGTTCAGTTTAATTAAATTCAGTTTCTTCGCTTTCTCAAATTGTATCTAAATATATCGAGTTTAAAAGTCTAATTTGAGCGTTGCGAACGCTAAATATCTATAAATATAAAAGATATAAATGTGTACATTCTGATTTATATTTTATACTCTTTAGAGAGAGAGAAAGAGAGAAAGCTTTGAGAGATTTATTTTCTCTCTCTGATATAAAAATGAAAGAGACAGAGCTTTTATCTCTTTCTAAGTGGCATGATTGGTTGGTTCAGGGGAAAACTTCAGGCATCGGGGGCTGTGAGTGGCTGTGGTCAATCGCTGTGATCAAACGGTACGCTCCCTTCTGCTTACCAGCGCGAGTTCTGATTGGCTTCTGCTTTTCTGCTTTCTGCTATTCTGCCCAAGGTGTGAATTTTTCCGAAGAACGTGGTTCTCGTACTTATTACGTTTATGAAAATATTTCTGTGTGATAATATTAGGTTAGATTCGTTAGATTCAGTTAGATTGGTGAAATTGAGCTACACAACTGGAGCCGTATTGATAATTAACCGATATTTGTGACATAAATCATTGAAAAATGATTATGGAAGCATTAAACGAGCATTTGGAGGCTTTGGCCGGTCATGTTTTCGATAACGACAAGCTGGTAATTCTATCGCGATCATTTATGAATAATATATTCCGCAGTGTGTTTCATATATATATATATATATATATATATATATATATATATTTTTATTATTCTATATAATATTTAACGCAATGTGGTATTTTTAGGTCACTTACAAATGGCTAAGCAAAGAGTTACATGTCCACGTTAACATAGCAAAACAGATCTTATGGGAATTCTATCAAAAATATAAAAGCAACAATATTGAATGCACATATTTGCTAATAGGTCTTCTAAAGGATAAAGGAATGCGTGTGGAGGTTGTTAAAGAATCCGATGTACCTAAGGCTAAAGAAAAGTTCAGTAAAATTATGTCAGAGCATCTCTACAGCGTCCACAAACCGCTTGCAGATTTGGAACTGCTTGCCAGTTCTGGTTCTGGCGATATAAATTACAGCGCGATAAAGTGTGATGCCTGCAAAGAACGAAGTGATGAAGAAATGCAACTATTACGTTGGGGTACAGCTGCTAAAAAGGCTATGGAAAATACGACAAATTTAAAATCTACAAATTCAATGAATCCATCGAAGACTGAAAAAAATTCAATGACAGCAAAGAAAAATGGATTTAATAATCTATTTAATATGGCTGGGAGATCAAAGAGTCCTGAAAAACCGAAATCATCCTTCCAAGAACGTGATAGAGACTCGATGAAGAAAGATAACCTTTGGAAGAAGAAGGATTCAGTGAAGAATAAAGATTCAACTGAGACAGATCAAGCTTTAATGGAGGAAACTAAAGAATTAAGAGAAAAAGAAAAAGACACCGTCGAAAAGGATAAAAACTTTGTCCAGAAAGATAAAGATTCTGCAGAAAAGACTAAAAATTCAACCGAGAAAAATAAAGGCTCCAAGACTACGTCTACCGCTAAAAAAGTATCTCCCCAAAGTAATTCTGTGAAAAAAGGAAGCTTGAATAACTTTTTTGGAAAGTTGACGTCTCCTTCAAAATCTATAGAAGTTACATCATCAGAAAAGAAAAATGATAATGCTAAAGAGGAATTTACCGAAGAAAAAATGAGTAAAGAAAAGAAGAAATTGCAAGGAAAAAAGCGAAATAGGAGCAAAGAAACGGATGAAGGTGCTAAGAAACGGAAGAGAATTGTTATACAGAACGATTCCAGTGATTCAGAGGTACAAAGTGATATAGAGATGGAAGAATTAGTTCCAGAAACGGAGCCGGAAATTCTTGCAAAACCAAAGAGCCCCTCTCCACCAAGAATAAAACATGAAAATGGCAAACGAAAAGTGTTGAAGTTAGTTAACAAAACTTATAAAGAAGGCGAATATATTGTAACAAAGAAAGAACATGTTTATGTAAGTTGTTCGGAAGATGAAGAAGAAAAAGAAGAAGAGATGAGGAGAAAAGAGAAAAAAGCAGAGGCTAAGATAGAGAAAGTGAAGAAAAAGCAGTCCACGTTAACGGATTTCTTCAAGAGGTCTTAGAATTGTATCAAAATTGTATCTAAATATTTATAAATATCCATTTTTATAAAAATAAGTAATATGAATGTGGTACATTACTTATTAATATTGATGATATAATGTGATATTAATGAATATCATATGTATATAATATTGATAATAATAAGTAATATACAAAATTACTAAATAATAAGTAATGATGTGTACTTTTGTGATGCAATAGTTGTGGCTTTGAAAATATTTTTTATCTACATAATAATGAGTGATAATCAAGTATTTGTTTAATTTATTACTTGGAAATTAATTGAGCTATTGGTCATTATAATAAAAATGTTGCTTGAAATTAATAACAATGTTTTCGAGTACTATTCAACAATCAAAGTTGTTTGATATAAGAATATTGCATTTTTATTATTTGGAATATATATATTTTTTTAGAATGAGACATTGGTCTTAAGTAGATTAAAATAGATTGAAATAAATGATAGATTAAATTAAAATTATTACTGCATACGTTGATTTTTTATACAGCATGTTCCAGAATCATCAAGAAATTATGAACATGTCAATAATTGATTAAATTAAATTTATCATATCTACATTTTTCGTAACAAGATGAGTAATATGTAACGGATCACATGGTTGAGACGCACTTATCAGATATGCTATCAGAATCAGCTAAAGTAGGTGTGTATCTACTATGACTAAATATGCGATCATTTAGTGATAGCCTGCGTGTGAAATCCCAGTGCGGATATCATGATGTTTAACATTATTACATTGTTGCTTTTCGTTCTATGCCACCAATGTTTGTGCGATATATGTAAAACCTGTGTATGTTCTAATACCTCAAGTAAGTCCAAAAGAAAAGATGATAAGATCTATCAGGAGAAATAATCGAATAAATGGATTAAGAAATAATAAATAAATACATGATATTATTTTTATTATTATATCATTACTACCAATTATAAATTAGTTAGTGTTATGCTTTTCAAAAGAAAAAAAGTTTGTAAAAAGATTTAATAAATTAATAAATGAAAATAATGAAATTAATAAATATGTGGTAATATTTTTGTTATATATTATCATTGTTATTATAAATAATAATATCATAACTTGATTTGTGATACGATTAATAATATAATTCGTAAATGTCAATATAATATACATATCGTTATTCTTGCAGATGCAGGACCAATTATTGATTGCCATGACAGACACTTAGGAACTAACAAAGTTCTTAACTTCGATCTTCTCACCTTAGATAAGCATCGGCCACTAAACAAACTTATTCTTTCAAGAAACAATATAGTGCTTCTACCCATAAATGAACTAAAAAACTTGAAACGTTTAAAAATATTGGATCTGTCTCAAAATCAACTGGATAATATACATTCGGATATCTTTAAAAACCTAAATGAGCTCGAAGATTTAGATTATTCTAGTAATTTACTTTGGGGCTTTGATATTTCTATTCTTAACACAGTTTCTTCTCTCTCTAAACTTAATTTGAGTCATAATCACATCAACAATTTGGAGAAAAGCTCAGAAAATGCAACAACAAAGCTGAAAATTCTTGATGTATCTCACAACAATCTCATTGATCTGGTAATATGATAATTTATTTTATAGCAAAAAATTAAAATCTGACAAAAAAATTTTTAGTGAAATTTAGTAATACTATAATAAATGTGTGTACATACAGTCGTGTTAATTAAAATTATATAGTTATTATAACTAACATTACTCCTATTAAATTCATTAACTTTAATATTTTGCAGAACTTTCTCGATGGTATGCTGGAGTTAGATTACTTAAATCTCTCTTTCAACAAATTTAACACTCTCCCGGCCAATTTATTACTTAATATGCAGCAGCTGAAGATTCTTCGCATTAACAATAATCAGCTTCTCTTTTTAAATTTCCAAAATCTTCCACTGTCACTGTTGGAACTTCATACGGAAAGCAATCTTATTAATACCGTGTCATTCCAAAAATCATCAATTCACACCTTAAACATTCAAAACAATAATATTTCTAACATATATAACAATTTAACATTACTGGAAGAATTAAAAAATGTAAATATCAGTGGAAATTCCTTATCAGACTTTCCAGATATTTTCCTAAAAAATTTGGAAACGCTAGATCTATCTTTCAATGATTTAACAACAATACCTGAAACCATTTCTATTAAAAATTTTCCAAGTTTAAAAATTTTTAAAGTCAATGGAAATCGTCTGAGAGATATAAAAATTTGGTCTGAACTGAATTTGGAAATATTCGAAGTAAAATTTGTAGATACAATTGAGAAGATTGACAAAGAAACACTTCTAATGTTAAAAGAAAAGACAAATATTTGCATTAATGTGACTATTTCGAGTAATACGAAATTGAATATGATTGAGGAAAATGTTTTTCGACATATGAATATATGCTCTGTAAGTATTTGATATAAAAAATATACTTTTTTTCTTAAGAGACATTTATTAATCCTTTTTCATTTTTCAGTTAGATTTGAGCAATAATCGCTTTACTCACTTGCCAGCAGAGCTGTTTAATATAAACGTTTACAAAAATGTTTCAAATTTAAATTATCTCATTAATCTGCAAGGAAATCCATTTATTTGCAATTGTTCATTGCAATGGATGTTGAACGAATTAGTGCCAAAACTTTACATTAGGAAACCTAGTCTTTTAGAAGATTTGAGGTAACTATACATAAGTCAATATTATTGAATATTTTAGAACTTATTTCTTATAAATTTATTTCTTTCTCGATGTATTGAATTAGTATTGTTAAGCTAACATAACAATCACTTTAATTTACTTTTTGTTTGTAAAAAAAAAACACATACAAATTAATATCGTTATATCTAAAATTTCAAATTAATCTCTATCTTTTTTATTATTTTTTATTGTGAATAACATAACAGTTATAAATGAATATGTCCTATTTTTTTTTACACAATTTATTAATAATATAATAAAATTAGATGTGCTGGTCCACCTCCATTAGCCAACAAAAGGATGATTCATTGGTACAAATGGAAGGGAGAAGTCTTTTGTGATGAGTTTTCACATTTTTCGGAGAGAATGACTGTTAATGTTGCAAGTAGTTCTAACCAACAGGTTGTGACATTCAGAACTGGTCCTGGAATGATTGCTGTTCTGGCTACGGCAATCGCACTGCTCGCAATTCTAACGATAATCGGCATTCTATTAACTCGAAGAATGATCGCGAAGAGAAGACGAATCAATCGTAGACTTTAAATCTTTTTATTTTTACAAAAACATGAAGACTGCTATTGGGAAACAATATAAAAGATATCTTTTATTATTTCCTTAGCACAATTTACATAATATGTAATTTATGCAAGTTTTTCCAAAAATTGCATAGATTAGCTGTCATAAATTATATTTTTTTAAATTTTTTACTATAGTACTTATTGTGTATAACAGGAACGGTCAGGAATAATATATAATAATATAATCCATAATATGATTTATATGAAGAAATATCAAAATTTTTATCTTTATGGACACATGCATACTTTTGGTAGTCACAAAATTAAACTTATTTTAATATAAATAAACTTATGTTTTATAATATTCTCTTCACATACCTTTAAATCGTATTTTTAAGGATTTTTATCTTTCGTTATTTTTAATTCACGTTCCCACATTACAGAATCTCTTAAGATATTTAGTTATATCTATTTTCCATTGATTAAGTAATGTTTTTTTTCCGATTACTGATTACTTTAATTTAACTTATCATAATTAAATCAAATTAATTTAAGCCAATTAAGTTTAAGTAAATTTAATTATATTACTTAAATGAATTGACACAATAATTTGAAATAATTAATTCATTTAATTATGCTTTGATTTGGACGTAACAATAATTAGTAATCACTTCTGAATCGATAAGATCGACTTTTTCTGCAACGCGTAAAAGCAATTTCTACAAAAAGTAGAAAAAGTTCAATTCGAAAAGTCAATTCTTTTACATGTTTCTAACATGTAAAAATTACCTTTACGTTTATGACGATAGACAATAATAGATGTGACAATAGAAGCGCTTTATCACTAAATATTATCGATTTGCCAATGACTAGACGTTACCCTTGGAGGTGGATTTTCCCTGAGCTCGGTCAGAAAGGCGTCAATGTTTTGATAATAACTCGGTTGACACCAGGTTTCGTTATGTGTGCCATCCACGATTGGAAGTATACGTTTATATGTGCTTCGGCAATTCTTATAAAGATCCTGCATCATGCGGGGTGGTACCAGTGTATCCGCCAGACCAGAAATAAACAGAGTGGGCACTGTGACTGAGCGAACTTTCAGAATAGACAAATACTGCAACGTGATAAAAAGCATGAAAATGTGAGGAATCATATAAAAAAGAATATATGAAAATATAAATAAATATAAGAATATAGATAAGACAGATCATATAAAATATAATAAATATATAAATTCGAAGAAAAATAATGATACATAAAAATTTGCTAATCATGACACTTTTTAATATAGTAGATATACGGTATATTTTTTATAAAACCTTTAATTTATAAAAAGAGAACCAGAAGAATTGTATATAAAATAATCAAAAAAATTTTTAATATTCCCTGTTCTGTTTACCTTGTTCTTGTATACAAAAAGTGGCAAGTACTGTAAAAATTTAGATCCTACAAATAAGGCGGCCATATCTGGGATACTGGTGAAGGTGTTTTCAAGTATAAGGCACCAAATTCTCTGTGAATTTTCTTCCTTCGTGGCTAAATCAATGGCTACCGCTCCACCTATACAAATTATAAATTAATCAAATTTAATTATTATAAATACTGATAATTAGTAAGAAGATTGTAAAGAACTGTTCTTAGAAACTTGATACGATAAAATATAAATTAAAAAAAGTTAAAGAATTATAATAAATATTCCAAATAATAAAATTAGATTCTTTACCTAGCGATCTACCGAATACTATAATTTCATTGGTATTAATATCCGTTCTACTAAACAGGTAATCTATTCCTGCTCGAGCATCCATATAAAGGCCCTCCTCCGACGGAGTACCTTGCGAAAGCCCATACCCTCGGTATTCTAACATTAGAATATTACACTGAATATTATGATAGAGTCCTACTATATTCTGCAATCTGGAAAAAAACATAAAAACATAAATATGATATATCGCGATATGACTTGTTACTATATTACAAAATTAACGTAGTAATATAATGAATACCGATGGCCCATATTGCCAGCGTTGCCGTGAAGAAACAGCAACGTAGGCGCCTTCCTCATTCTATCTTCTGGTTGAGAAACAAAAAACATGTGCAGCATTGTGCCATCTCCAGCTCTGGTATATATACTTTGATAAGGCAAACTAAATATTGAAGGAGCTGGTACGTAAACTCTTGAATGGGCCGGCAGTTCTGGATGATAAAGAAGTTGATCTTCTCTATGATAAAGTATTCCTGTAATAAAAAAAAAAAAAATCAACCTCTGAATCAATAATGGTTAAAAGCTTTGCTAGGAAATAAAGCTTTCTATAGTAAAAAAATATGTATATACAAACCAGTTGTGGCAAAACACAGCAAAAAGAAAGCCAAAACTCCACCGTATAACCAATATAAAAAAAAGCACACGAGGATATATGCTCCACTGAAAGCCCAACACTTCATAGCTACACTCCCCAGAAGTCTAATTGGCCTGCTGCGAGCTAAACGTATTCTGAAGGACATTATTTATATATCTTGTATAATTTAAAGAAGCGTTATCTGGATAATCCAAATGTTTTCAATAAGCAGGTAGGTCTTGATTTAAGAACAGCCATGATGATCCTTAAACATTAAATAAATCGCTGCAAATTCTCACATCTTTCTCCTGCAAAAAATATTCAAAAAATGATAAAAGTTCCAATGAGACAATACATTGTGGGAAGAAATTACAAATTTATTTTTATTTGTTAACTTTATTGTTCAATTTTAGATAGAGTATATCAATTTTATTTCAAAGCATATTAAAAAATTCTGAATAGATTTTTGAAAAAAAGAATTGATTACTTTTATTTCATTTATAGATCAAATATAAATGCAATCATAATAGAATTAATTTATTAAAATAAATTGACGATTTTTTTCTTCTTGATAAATACGCGTATAAAAAAAATTGATTAAATGAGTTATTTATGTAAATTATTAACAAAAGCTATGTATATATTATAATCCAACCTGCAAGATGAGATAATGACAGTTGGATCGCATAAACTTCAATGATCGTATTGATGGAATTTTTATAATAAAAAAACGAGTGTTTCTGGATCGAAACGATTCATAAAATGAACATTACTTGAGTTATTTCACAATTATTATTGTTAAACGGCAAGTCAAGAATCATAAAAAATACCAGACGTTCATTTAACCCATTTAACCTTTACGGTTCACATCTCCGCTCTCCGCTCTAAAAAAGTGCGGAGTATATAGATGTGTAAGTGCTGATTTCATCTATGAACACTATGGCCGCGTTCCGTCGAATGCGGCCAATGAAAAGGACGTAGCAATGAATCTGATTGGCTTCGGCCTGATCGCCATATTGTGATCACTCTCGAATAAAACGCGATAAGAAGAGTTTAGTGTCGTCGACGTGTGGTGTGGGGGATGTGGAAATGTGGGGTCGTGCAGGCGCAGGCCGCAGGGCGGCGCAGGGTCGCGTGCCATTCTGTCATTTGATTTGCCATTCAGCCCAATTCAGCCTGTTAGCAGTCGGTGACACGATCGACGAGTCTCGTCGTCTCGTCACTAGTCGTCACTCTCGTCAGTCGCGTCACAACACTCACAACTCGTCAGCTGATACGCATTGCTGTGTGCGACACGGCACTACACATCGTCATTAAGAAGTCTGATTTAATTAAAATTTCGTGTCGTCTGTAAGATAGGTATGTAGAGCCGCTCGCCATTTCGTAATAGATTGATGATAATAATTCCCAACTATTTTTATAAACTACCCAGCAGCATTACGGTTAGATAGTAATTGTACAGAGATAGTAACTATATAGCGCATTGGCAATAATATAGCACGACGTATCCCCAATTTACATTATTCTGTCGATAAATATATACGGTAAATATAAGCGCAGGAACAGCCTTGCATGCTCGAAAATGTAAGATAATTCCGGTTATTTTCGGTCGCTCTCACGCGTGTACATGATACAGCGTTTCCGTGAGCGTGAGACACTTAAAATGCTACCAATGCTTTCCAACGTGTAACTTAGCCTATTGTTATTGAGATACGACCCTTTAAAGAAAAGACCCTGTGCTCTATAACCTTAAGAATAGGTTGAAGGCATTTAATTTATCTGTTTCTATGTTATTTATACTTGGGGTGTGTGTGTATATATATATATTGTTTGTATATTTGGACTGTTTGGTTTTGCTTTAGGAGGATACATACACGTCAACAGTAAATATGTCGACTGACGTAAACATGCAGGCTGAGAAGGTACATATAAAACAATTTCGTTTGCATGCGTGTATCCTTGCATGGTAATCGGGATGTATAACAATGTATCTCTATGACAAACATGTACATATTGTGTTGCTGTTATACGTTAAAATTATACTCGTTCCCTTTCTGGAAAGCTGAAAGTTTGTGGTAAAATATTGATTAACATTAATCTTTCTTTGGATCAAGCACAATGAAGAAGCGAGTGTCGATAAGACCGAAGAAGAAGAGGGCAGATCGTCTAAAGACATGCATGCGGTACCTATTTTTCCAAATTAAATTTTGCTCTCTAGAGACGGTTCTTTTTCTTCATCCTGCTATACGTTTCATTATTTCTTCCACGTGTACAATATTCCAGATTATAAATGTAAGATTCTATCAAGTTCGTTTACGTGACAAATAACGTGATAGATTTGTTTTGAAAATTTTAGCAAAACGGCAGTCCCGTTTACGGGGGCTGTGAAGGACCAAACGCAATGTACGTGAAGCTGGTCAGTAGCGACGGCCATGAGTTTATCGTTAAACGGGAACACGCGTTAACGAGCGGTACTATCAAAGCAATGTTAAGCGGTCCTGGTCAATTCGCGGAAAATGAAGCCAACGAAGTCAACTTCCGAGAAATCCCGTAAGAGATTCGAACCATTTGTTTTCTTTCTTTTCTCATTTTCAAATCATAAAATAAGTTTACTGATATGTATACTGTGATAAATGAATTGTTTGAACAAATGTCTTTTTTTTTTTTTTTTTTTTTTTTTTTTTTAATAAATTTTTTAAAAAAATTTTTTTTTTTTTTTTTTTTTTTTTTTTCATAGGTCTCACGTGTTACAAAAGGTCTGCATGTATTTTACTTACAAAGTACGCTACACAAACAGCAGTACAGAAATACCAGAATTCCCTATTGCACCTGAGATTGCTTTGGAATTATTAATGGCTGGCAACTTCTTAGACTGCTAAACATCATTCATAAAAGTATACTAGCTTTTATTGGCACGTGACGGAACATATAGGAACACTGCAGCTTTCTTCATTATGGTCATTTAAGATGAATCTATGTATTGTGATATTTGGAAGACCGTATCGGGACGTAATAATTGATCGCTTTGGACTCTCATATATTCGTGACTCATGAACATTTTAGTGCGACGAGACAATGCAATGTCACAAAGTTTTATAGTTACGAAACCTGAATATTCCACTCGTGTTATGCTTCATAATTTATATAGTCGCAGACACATAATATTGTAATGCTTAAAATAATTACCGATAAAGTAAAGAAAATACGTACCACTCACAATCTTCTAGCAGATCATGCATACACATATATATCTCACCTGTTGTATACTTAAATTATATATTTCAGTAAATTATTGTTATCAAAATAAGAGAAATAACGTCAACTTAATATATTGACGTCTGCTAGGTGCGTTAGGTGACAAATACTTTTCATTGTATTAATATTGTGGCAAATATATGTATACAGATACCTCTTTTGTTAAATATAGTTATACGTATTTGTATTCTTGGTTTACATATTGATTATATTTACACTTGTGTATCATCCGTACTCGGGCACCGTGTGAGGTTTATTGATACATTGCAGAAGGAAGATTAGGTTTGATAGAGCACTTGATAGGATATATCACTTTTAATCAATAAGTTACATATAAAAGTCAGATATTGTACATGATATGCAAAGGAATGGCAAACTACACGTTTATACAAGTTTTGTAAGCGTGTTTAAGAGGTCTCGTATACTAATAAATTTAATGTACAAAAGATATGATTTTTTGTGACCCGTTACGTGCTAGCTCTCTTACATATTTTACATTTATACATGTCATATTTTTAACAATAACTGTGACTGTCTAAGATATACGTATTTATCATCCTATTATATATAGGTACATGAAGATACAATGATTTACAGCTTACAGCTTTATTTGTTCTTGGTATCCTTTTCGAGATCCTTAAACTTGGCTTCGAGTCGCTTGGAGTACGCTGCTAGTTTATACGCAGCTTGCTCCAGTTTGCTGACGCTGTCATCAATCTGATTGATGTTATCTAGGATCGGCTGTAGCTTCTGATACTTATCATTCAGCGAGTCCAGTGATTGCACCACATTCGACGAGATGATCTTTAGTTCCGTATACTTGGCGATGGTCTCCTTATTCAGACGTTCCAGCAGTCGGTAGTCGGCGTGGGTAGCGGTGAGCTCCTCCTGCAGGTACTCGCCCGTCTTCTGAAACATCGTGTTCGCCAGTCGACTCAGGTTCGGGTCGTGCGGATCCAGCGCCTCGAAACTGCTGGTGCTGGTGGAGAGCGTGGTGCCGCGTTTCGGTGATTCGCATCTCGAGTTCTGCTCAGCGGACAGACTCTCGATCAGCGCTGCCTCCGTCTGCGTTTCGTCCTTCGACGAGTCCATGATCAGCACGACTCTATCACAAGATATATTACAGAACGACTCGCGTGGATGCGATCAGAGTCTGAATTCTGAATTTGAACATTTCATGATCAGCACGCGTCTGACGCGTCCCGATCTCGATCAGCTGATAACAAATGGGCGATCCTAACCTGTTTTTTAAATCCCAGCTGATCCCAGCTCTGTTTTGACAGTTCCCTCTAGCCCTAGCCGGTTATTACGTTCTGCTATCTTTTTTCTTCAATTCAGTGATTACTAGTCAATGGTGGATCAGCTGATTTTCAAATTGTCAATGTGACGCGATATCGCATCGGCAGTCGGACCATGAATGGCATGAATCTGACGGATACGCAGAGTCGAGCCACTGTGAGCCACTGTCTTTATCAATAATGATGGTTAGTGCAATGGTTAGTCTCTCGATATATGTATATTGATTTTGAATAGACAATGAAATTAAGGGACAAAATCTAAATGATAACTTGATGAATAATTAATAATTTATTTTTTTCCCATACTTACCTACTTACATTTGACTTCATTATCAACAATTTACAGATCAATAAATATTTTGTGGTTATGGTAACAAAAATACCGAAAATATAATTTTCTTCGGTAATAACGTACGTATCCTTTTATAATTATTTTTATAATCTTATAATTTCATAATTATTCATAATAAATCACCATACGTATTTACATTGTTTTCGCATCATTGATGTATATAGAAAAGTATTTTTTACACATCATTTATATATGTAGATACAATATATATTGTGCAACTATTAAAAATGGCATCATGATAGAAATTAATTTAATTTAAATATATGCAAAAAATCAAGTTTTACATTATATTTAAGAGATTTATATAAACATATACCCAACAAAACTTTTCTACGTACATTAAATTTCGTTAGACATAAATTCTCATTGTATTTATACATATATTAATAAACTTGCTTAATATAACAGAAGATAAATAACTACTTTTCTTATGCTTTGGTCTAAACTTTGGTAACTGTATACCACCATATGGTTTCATTATCTATCCAATGATATGCGGAAGGCGTAATAGCAAGCTAGAAGCTTCAAGTTTTTATAGTTATTTAGGCATAATGGTTATTAGGTGTAACGCTTATCAGTGTTTATAACCGTTTGGATTATTTTGTTGCCATTTCCATGTATCTGCACCTGGAATATCAATAAGTTTCTAATTTTAGAACATCCAAATACAGAAAATGTAGACACTTATTACGTTGCTGTTAAATCCATTTATTATATATTATAACTTACACATGTCATCTATATTTCTTGTAGCAACCCAGGCTAGTTCCTTATTAGCGATACTAGCATCAGCGTAACTGGCGGAGATGTCACCTGATCTACGTTCAACTATTTTGTATGGTATTTTCTGCCCGGACGCTTTCTCAAACGCATGTATGACTTCGAGCACAGAATAGCCCTTTCCAGTACCAAGATTTATCGCCTTAAATCCCATTGGATTACGAGTCTTTTGATACATCAAAGCTTTCATATGTCCAACTGCCAGATCCATAATATGAATATAGTCACGTACACCTGCAGATTTAATTAAAAGAAAAATAAACATAGACTACGTATAATCATCATAAAACGTCCTCTTTCTTCCTATGACATATATATATATTTTTTTTTGCATAATAACTGTCTTATTAAAAAGGTTTTATTTAGTTTTTTATATCCTGCGATCAAAAAGATATAACTCTTACCTGTACCATCGGGAGTATCATAGTCGTTGCCATAAACATATAACACATCCCTTTTTCCAACAGAAACTTGTGCAATATAAGGCATTAAATTATTTGGGATGCCATTAGGATCTTCTCCAATTTCACCTGAGGGATGTGCGCCAACCGGATTAAAATATCTCAAAGATATAACGGAAAATTCCTGAAAGTAACTTTTTATTAAAGTGAATCTCATAAGACAGGGTAATTATGATATTGATACGGTACGATACCTTGTCCGAGGTACACAAATCCTTTAGTATTTCTTCAACCATGAATTTTGTTCTTCCATAAGGATTCGTACAGTTGCCAGTTTTCATATCTTCTACTAAAGGAAGTTGTTCAGGTACACCGTAAACCGTGGCACTGCTCGAATAAATAAAACGCTTTACATTGTTCTCCCGCATAACTTGTAATAGATTTATCGTTCCACTGACATTAGTTTTATAGTACTCGAGTGGTTTCTGACATGATTCGCCAACCGCCTTCAATGCCGCAAAATGTATGACACAATGAAAAGTATACTGTAATGAAATAAAAATCTGAATATTTGAATTTAATATGCTATCAGCAGAATTTATGAGCAAACAAGGGTATTTACTTTCTGAAACACATTTCTTAAATCCGTGACGTTTGTGATGTCACAGTTGATGAACGTAACATTTTTACTTGTCAATTTTTCCACTCTAAGGAGACATTCTGGTTTCTCAGAACTTGAGTCTGTAAACATAAGAAAAATTAAAATTTTTATATTACATATATTTATGTAAAACATGTACAAAACACAACAAAACAATGTCACGTCATTCTCTCTAACGTGCATGCCGTGTGTGGTAGCGCCAATAGAAAATACGTAGACAGTACGTAATGTTATTATTTAATAGGTTGATAGGTTGAAATATTGTATGCAATGTATCACGTATCACTTTTTGTAACATAGCTTGTTACGTCTCACCTTTGTAGGCATTGCTAAGGTTGTCTATTACCACCACCCGAAAGCCCGCTTGTAACACGTCCAACACCGTATGAGAACCAATATAACCGGCGCCTCCCGTCACCAAGACATTCCAAGATTCGCTTGCCATTATTTAATGCTGTTTTATTAGTTGATATATAATGTATATTATATCATACATGCATGTGTATCTTATACATAAAATCTTTTTTTCAATCGAAATATCTAATATCAAGTGCATACAACCAAAATGTATATCTTGATAAACGTACGCACTTTTTCAACGTTTGTTTTAGACAGTTATAAGATATAAGTAGAGATACGCTTCAAGTTGCGATATAATACAGTCAAGTTTTATCCTAATACACCATATAAAGTTAATCATAAACTTTCTGGTGAAGAAGTTACAGTATTGAAAGCAAGTCAATGTATGTACGTGTACATGTACATATTTACAGATTAATAATCGTGCAGAACGTGTTAGAAGAAATTGCGTGCACCTTAAATTCTTGTCGACCACGTTTCGCAGAATCTAAAGCACCGTCTAACCTCACAACGTGATAACCGGGGATACACTGACCTTATCGCGTCGACCGGACGACGGTCGACGTATCACAAAATTATATAACGTTGACACATCATCGGGCATCGGGCATCAGGCACACGTCGCGCGTCGCGATCGGCGATCGCAGCCGGACGTGAGTTCCAGAACTTGGCGCTCGATCGAGGACGATCGAGGATCGTCAGGATCCGTCGATCCGACACGTTTCCATCTGTGATTTCCATTCACGCCCGTTTCGTCCGCGAGGTAGCCGAGTGGCCGAGATTGCCGAGAACGAGAATCCGATCAATCCGATTTGCGTGGTGACCGTGGTGACAAACAAACATCCGGGCCACGCCGGCCACCACCACGCGCCACGCGCAAGACGCGAGTATCGCGACTCGCGACTCGCGAGTCGCGCCGGACGCCACGTCGAATCGTAATGTTCGACCGTCCGACCCCGACCTCCGATAGTCCGAGGTCCGACTCCCTTCGACCTCTCGCCACTCATTTCTCGTAACGGTACCGAAGAAACAAACATTTTTTTCAAAAGAGAACATTTTTTCACTGCCAATACGCGTTATAGACATAATTCCTTCGCTCAACTCGAGAGCGCAAACGTGCATGTGCATAGGCTACTGCATAAGCATAGCATAAGACCGCTGGACCACGAAGCATTTTATATGTAAATCAACATAGCGACTTTATGCTGGATGCTCATTGGTTTAGCGGTCTTATGCTACGTTTATGCTAAGCTATGCATTTTGTGTGCGATGGCCTTAAGTTCTTTATTTATATGTCTGTTGTAATCAACGTTTGTGGAAACGAGGTCGGCATGAGCCAAATCTGAGGATATAAGAAATGTACATACATACATACAGCATAAAGTAAAAAGTAATACAAAATTTTGTTGCAGGGAAGAGAAATCTGCCATGCGTTCGACACTTGGACAAAATTATAAAGATCGCGCTATATATATTTGAAATATGTATGCATCAATAATGCATTTATCGACCCTCGATAAAAACGGATAAAAAGGCGCGCGCGGCGCCGTCTGACGGAGAAAATGCGGGCGAAACCAAACACCAAACGGGGCCGGGGCGTGCTTCAGCGTGCTTGTCCGATTGCGTCACGAGAGAAACTCCGCTTTTCCATCGCGGTCGGCCATGACGGCGGGCGCGTAGGAACATAGGAACATTGAGGGCAGTGCGCTGGGCAGTGCCGCGGTGGTATTCGAATTTGGTGTTCGGTGTAGTAACGTTGCTCCAGGCGACTGGCGAGATCCGAGATCCGCGATCCGCTCGTCGTCACGCGCGATTTCGCGCGCGGTGATAAATAAACGGTAGGTTAGGTAGGTAGGAAGCGAGGAGAAAGAGAGCGAGTGACGAGGAATCTGTGAATCTGTTCGAGAGTCCGGGGCGGCGTCCGCGTCGCCGTCGCGTCATTCGCGCGCGATACGCACGTTCTCAATATCGCCGGCCGCCGCTCTCTTCGGGGACTATTTGAAAATGGCGCGGGCAACAAGGGCCGTGGCCCCCGTCCCGTACGGCGTCGTTTCGTGATCCGGAGGACCACCCGCTGAACAGACTGTCGAACTGAAGAGAGGAAGAGAGTTGTTTATACGTGCTACGCTACGGTGCAGCTGGGTGCTGGGTGCTGGGTCGTCCGTCTCTCGCTTCGGCTCGGCTTCGAGGAAGGGGAGACAGAGAACCAAGTGAACCAAGCCCTGTTCCCTCCCGCCTCCGGCCTCCTCCCGCCGCGGCCGCGGCCGATCGTCCGTGTCCGTGTCCGTGTTCGCCGCGCGCACCGCGCACCGTGCTTCCTCGCGCTGGTGCGTCGCGTCGTGCACCAAGGTGGTGGAGAGGCTGCTATCGTCGTATCGCAGGTAAGTGTGCCTGTGCCACTTGCCGATATCGCCGGCCACGCCGGTCCCGCGTCCCGCGGGAATCGGGCACTCGGAATCGCGCGCCGCGCGTCTAACGACGGTCGACGATTTTCAGACGTCGCGGTAAGCGAGACTCGGAACGATTCAACGATCAGACAACGTCGAAAACCAGGTATTTTTGTGACGCGAACGTATGACACGTAAACTGAACTTGATCTGCACCTACGGACAGTACGGACACGATACGTCGCGCGTTCATTAAGTACCTACTGTGTTATCGGTCTGCACGATATCTGACTATGTAAAATCGCCCCGACTTCGATTCGTATTCATTTGTACACTAAACAGCGAATGTATTATAGATTTTAACGCAGCTCTCGACCAAGCGACCGTTCCATCTTGGACGCCGAGCAGCGAGCACTCTCTTTCCGCATCGACAACATTTATTTCGACCCTCGCTGACTCGAAATCCCTCACCTTCGAACTTGGAATAGACGTGCGATTCCGGACGACTGCGTTTCGCGCGAGGGGAAACCGCTGAAACGTAGGGTGCGAAAACTATTGTAAGCGGGCAAACCCGGCGGCGGCGGCGGCGGCGGTGCATACGTCGTACGTCGTCGGGGTGCAGGATGCATCGATCTGTCCAAGCGAGCGAGCTTGAACGTTCGTTGGGTGCACAACCTTCGAACTATCGTTATACCGGCGCCTTTCTAACATCCTTTCAATTGCGGCGCATGATACGCGATGAATATTCGTTCAGCAATATTTTCTCGCGAGTAATAACCACGGGGGAAGGCTGGTCCCTAGGTTGATCGCGTTGTTTTCTATGCCAAGCCACGCCACGCGCGACACGCATGTGGTAGGGTAATGTGTAACAGTCACGCGTGTATGTAACAAAAGGAAGCGCGGCGTACATGAGAGGCGTCGTATGGCCGGGACGGGTATCGAGCGTCGATGGTACGGATCGGTTACGGGGATATCGCGCGTATACCGGGTGTCCCGACAGGAAGGATAGTGCGTGAGCGTGAGCGGCAGCGACGCGACGACGCGCGAAGGCCGAGTCCCCGAGTAAACCTCTCGTCGCGAGTTTCACGTTCGTGACAAATGTTGAAATGTGAGAAAAAAATATCGCATTCACAAACGTTCATTTTCAGCGATCTGCTGCGTCGAAACGAACTATCGCGGGAGCTACAAGTTACAAGCGTGTGTCCGAGACTGTGCTGAAAGTCGAGAGATCCCCAGCCACTTTTGCGACTAGAGCTTCGCGAGAGAACCGATCGTTGAAGGAGCCGTCGATACCTTCGATCTTCGATGCGTTTGATCGCGGCCGCACCGTCACGTTCACGTCAGTCTGAAACGTCATAAATGAATGAGCAAGAAGGATATTGTTGTCAGGAACGAGACTCTTCTAGGTATGTCCTTTACGACTTGCAAGTCTTGCGGCAAAGCACGAGCACAGAGTGACGAGGCGATCGCCGCTCGTTAGCTCGCGTGACACGAATCTTGTCAGCCAGGAAAAAGTATCGCACGCTTTTATTTTAAATCTGCCGCGGCTATAAATAGTTATTCCCGATAGATTCTCCCTGTTGTAAGACACTCGTATGGAAATATCATATCGAGGGTCTTACTTAATCGGGAAAGAGTTATAGCTTTCAAGTAGGTACTCTCGTTCTTGTAATTTCTAGCACGTTGATCGTTTCTGGGTTTACTTGAAGTCTCGTACAACTCCGACGATACCTCGGTCGGTTCTCGCCTTGATTCCCTCGCGCGAAAACGTCGATGCTAACGCGATTTCAGGCTTTAACGAAGCGGCGACGTCGAGCTGCCTCCAGTTTCCGGCCGTTTCACCGGCACCGCCGCGACGCGCCGTGCGCCGTGCGCCGTGCGTCGTTCCGGTTTCAGTGATCGACCCCGAGGGCAAAAATGCTTCTCGATAGTGTGCCACGCGCATTCGATACTTTCCACACGGTGTATATAAATGCCGCTTTTTGAGCACGATGCGCCTGATATGCCTCTAATATGTCCGGATCACTTTACTCAATAACAAGTGTCGCGTCCACATATTTCTCGGCCTTCCTTGTAATCTTCGCTTCTTATAATAAGATGCGGACATGCACCGGTTAGCCGTGAACAGGATCTTTGTATAAATGGAAACTGAAAGTTGCACGAGATAAGAAATTAAAATCGCGCGGCTTCTGAATACGTCTCGCCACGATCGACGTTAATCGGCGCCGACGTGTCTTGCACCAGACACGTTGCGTAATCAATCTTTGGTAAGGTTGAATATCAATTGAACACACCAGTCGCTAGATACATTCATCTCTCAAACATTATATTACACGAAATTTTATTGATTTTTAGGTGCTATATTTAATTCGGTGCGCTCTTCGCCCGCTACGTTTAAGATATTTCCGGGCCATCGTCTCTCATTGGTAAACCGTTGATCCAAACGTAAGTGGAACGACGAGATGCCATATTAATTCTGCGCATGATTCCAAGTCTCCGCAGAATGCAGGACGTAGTGACTAACCTTGGCTAGAGAAGCTGGTGTCTGGTCGTCTCTTTCTCTCCATAAACATCTACCGGTTCAATTGGGTCAATTAGGCGTTTTGCTGCAGAGCACTATTTTCGAAAGACGCGTCACTTTGGATGCGCTTGCGGCTAAGGTAATCGATGAGAAGTTCAAGCTACGCGTACAATATCGGCTGTCTTTCTTCCGGCTTCTACTGACAATGAGAGATGTTGCACGATCATATTTATGCAAATTGACGGAAAGTTAACAAACAAGGTTTATATCGGAATATTCATTATCTGGAAAAACCTCAAGTTCTCAGAAAATTTTATCAGAATTTGAAAGATTTTTATTGAACGTGTCTCTTTAAAAACTTTATTTCGCGAGCAATGTTCGTGTTGTTGTTTTTATTTTAATTCTTATTTCCGTCGGGAAAGAAGAACTGAAAAGATCAACTGATATAAAATTCATAAAAAAATTTCTGTTTAAAAACGTGCTTTAACTTTACTTGAAACTTTTCCGGGGATTTTCTTCAAATTTTGAGTAGATGCTCTGTCTATCCGTAAGGACATTGAATTTTAATTCCATTTATCTTTTCTGACGATCCATAATTCGCGTTGAAGATAGTCACGCGTCAAGTCGTAAATCTCGACACAGTTTTCGCCAGGACGTCACGATATTGCCGTTATGTCGTCCGCGAGACTGCCGGCTACCGGTACTCATGTCACAAGATCGTGAACGTACACGCGTGTGCACATGGTGCACGCATTGACGCGTGCAGGTGTTCGCGCCGAGGGAGCAGCCGGAAGCGAACGGTAACGTCGAGTTTTCTAGATGACCTTTTTCGCATTATTCGGATACGAGTGCGTTCACGTGTTATCGTTGTCACCGATGTGTCACTTGGATTAATGCCTCGTTTTAGGTAGATTCCCATGTCACAATCGTGTACATTTTTTATTACGACTCGAAAGACACTCTTTTAAACGGGAAAACTTTCTA